TGGTGGCACAGGGGTGATTTGGTGATGGGAAACCCATGGGGATTACAATTGAGATGAAAAAAAAAATGTGAAAAATGATGTTAAAATAAACTTTTTAATAAAAAAAAAAAAAGATAAGTTGGACGTCATTAGAGGTTTTATATTAAAAAGTTTTAATATAAAAAAGTATATATTAAAAAGCTTTAAAAAGGAACCAGAACCTACAAGGTGGGAAGAAATACTAAGAGTAACAGTCTAGTACCTGGAATATATAGAGGATTCCTACAAATCAATACAAAGGCAAAAGGCTTGAACAGACTTCCATGAAAGACACACCAAGGACCAACACGCACATCATAAATCAAACCATAGTGAGCTAACACGTCACACCTATTAGTGGGGTCTAATCCAAAGCACAGGGAAAATAACTAGTGATGACCAGGATAAAGAGAAACGAGATCCCTTGGTGACTGCTCACATAGAAATGTAAAATGGCACAGTACTATGAAAAGCACTCCTGACAGTCTGTCAGCAAGTTAAACGGGGTTACCGCATGACACGACAATTCCCTCCTAGGGACAGAACGGAAGGACTGAAAGGTGTTAAAGCAAAGACACACACAAACACCGCCAGCAGCACAACTCCCAGAGGTCAAAGGCAGAAATGACGCACATGCCCTCAGCGGCTGAGTGGACAAATAAACTGTGTTACTTTCAGATGATGACATGTTTCTAGCAATGTAAAGGAATGAATCACTAATAAATGCACAAAGGAAATAAAGGCAGCTAGAAGAGGCCAAAACTCATGTGTCATTTATATGCACCACCCAGAAGCAGACACATGCACAGCATCAGAAAGCAGGTGTGGCACTGCCAGCAGCTGGGGGAGCGAGAACAGCTCAGGGTCACGCTGCGGGTGATGCCAAAGTTACAGACTGTGTGGTGACACACACTGGAGATGTGCTGAAGGTCACTGAATCAGAAATGTAAAAGTGGATAACAAGGTGAATTTGTCATATGCATTTTCCACAAAGCAACCGAGAGAGAGAGCAAAGTAGGTGCCCCATTTTCACAAAGGACTAGGGCGATGCCACCTACCGATCAGCCGCAGTGCCGTCTGCGTGAGGGCGAGCGTGCCCGAGTTGAGGAGAAGGTCCAGGTTGCTCGCACCGTGCTGCAGCGTGAGCATGCTGAGCATCACCAGGAGGAAGCGGGCCTGCGGGGTCGTGCCCAGGCTGGGTCCTGACGGGTTCTCGTTGGTAATGGTTTGCAGGGGGACGGGCTGGATGCCTAAAAAGCATTGGCACCCACGTAAACTTCTTGTGTGTGGACACAAGCATATACATGAAGCAAAAGCATTAGCACTGTTTTAAGTTCTGTTTTTCAGAGAATTTCCACAAAATGTGGAAATCAGCTACTCTGTACTGCTTTACAACAGTATTATCCTGAGTAGCAATCTCCAGCTGCCTATGAAACTCATCACACCATTCCTCTAAATACCCCTGGAAGTTTTCGATTTAAAGTATAAGATACATTTCACTTTTTGCCCCACAGAACTAAACCCAGGATTCTCTGTAGATACTCAAACTATCGAACAAATAAGTTTTAATATACACACATACTTGTATATACAGTAAGTATATAGTATATACTAAGTATTGTAAAATTGGTAATTATACAATAAGTATAAATAAGCAGTTTAGGATACACATGAAAATATAAACTGATACACTAATACACATGAAAATATTAAAAAAAACTTTTTATTTCTATATGTCAAGATTGTGATTTCTGCCAAATTTTGACAATTTTGGAATCTAAGAAAGCTAAATACAGGCTAGATTATCATTTGAATGAACAAAGTTTGGACACCCCTGGTGGTGCAGGGATAAGTCTCACCACTATCAAGCTATCACAGCCACTGCAGCATGAGTTCAACCCCCAGCCAGGGAGCTGACTCACATAGTGCAGCAGACCTCTCCTGTCTCACCCACTGCCCCCCCTCAGCAGATCCATGTGTTCCACTCCCCACTCTATCTCTGGTGAATCTTCTCGCCCTCCGCACCCCTGGCCTACACCCTTGTAAGCATAAATAACTAAAATAAATCTTTGCATGTGCAAAGTTTATTCACATCTTCCCAAAAGCAAAACATTAGCATTTGTAAGTTTCCACAACACATAAAGAACCAAACTGAAATAATGACGTAGTCACATTTTACTCCAATAACAATGCTAATTCAACTATTTAACCATCAGGCATCTTTTAACTCACCAAGTTCTTTAAATTTGGCATTTGCATCCATCAAAACATTTCGAATATTCTGAACAGCCCAAGCATACAGCTTGCCAAAAGTCACTTCCAGCAGCATTCGATTAAAAGGTGGGATCAAATCAACATCCTTTAAACAATCCGTAAGGGGTTCCCTTAAACAAAGAGAAATCATTTTACTCAGAATATCGCTAGACTTTAAACTCCAACAGCACAATGCTTTATTGCAATGGCTTCTTTTAATTTAAAAAAATCTAATAAACCTTTACCCTATATCAACTCCTTCAGGAATAAGTCTTTGCCATCCACAGAACATGGCATACTGCACAGATGGAAGTAAGAAATTTTTGGCTGCCAGTTTTAAAATTGTATCTATGCCTTCCAGGCGAACCTCTGCTCTCTCCAACTGCAAAACATCAATGCAGACAATTAAGTGTTGCACATATTATTCAATGAAGAGCAAAATATTCTTCACAAATTTTACCTGTTTTAGAAGGCACTTTCTCATTTTTTCTACATCCACGGGCTCTTCTTTCAGGGCAAATTCAGCAATTGTGCTGAGAAGCGCAGACTGTGGATAAAGACCTTGAACATTCTGCTTCAGCCATTTATACTTGTGAACACCTGTAACCGTGTTCAACAGAGGCTGCCATTTATCCTGACAAAGGGAAACAATGTGTGCCATTAATTTATACTGCCCTTAGAAAAAGGTGCTCTAAAGCAGTTACTTGAATAAAACATAAATAAAGGCCAACAGGTTCAAGTTGATGGAATATTTTAACTTTTACTGTAAGTGAGAGGAAGCGCATCTCCAGCTATCGATCTGCCCAAGGCACAGAAGTCAAGTTCAGGAAGCATCACCAGGGCGGGGGTACTGAGACTCTTAGTAACACCCTGCTTTACTCATCACCCTACAAGTGCTCAAGGAGAAAGCAACCATCCTTGTGGATTCCTTTGTTATTCAGCCAGTTCTCACAGAAAATTCTTTACCTTGGGTGATTTAATTGCAATGGGTCTTTTGTCCACATTTATAGGACTGTGAGGCAAAATGCAAGTTTCTTCTAAATCACTTTCTTCATTTCCAATTTTTTCTTCATCATCAGTAGATTCTGGCTTCTTAGGAACTGTATTTAAAGACACCATTCGTAATAAAAATCACTCACTTAAATATCACTTTCAATTAAGGAATATTTAAATTTGTATGGAGAACAAGAATATTATAATCAAAGAGACAGGAAAACATTATGCTCAACCAAATTACTCTCTAATGGAATACAGGAATAATACTTGGTCATTACATGTAATCGACAGAAAGACATGTAATCAATCAACAGAAAGACAGTCAAGAGTGCCATCATGAAGTGAAGCTTTAAAGAAGAGGGTGTCTCGGAATCAGCAATCATTCTTAAAAGGGACAGATGGTGAACATTTAAGTCTTTGCAAACCATTCAGTTTGTTTCAAATAATTCTGCTGTTGACACATGAAAAAGACCGAACGTTGTGTATGCATGTTGTATTTCAACTTCATATAATTATCAAGTGTCAAAACCTTTTTTTTAATTCTTCCTTAGATTTAAAAAAAAATCACTATTAGATGCAAACCCCAGTCTCAGCTCATGGGCTGTGCAAAGCACACAGCAAGGCTGCATCTGTGCGTCCGGACTACAGCACTGGTGGTCTGTCGCGGTGCGGGCTCAATCAACTGGATGGCTTTTTTTTTTTTTAATGTCTTAAATATATTTATTTATTTTACATCATTCTTCATTTTGTGTATTTTTTCATCTCGGTTGTAATCCCCATGGACTCCCTTGAGTGGCTAAATGTCAGTATCCTTAGGAAAATTTCCACTGATTTTGCAATAATGGGGGCTACTTCCTTATTTTTGGCCTCTTTCAAAATTTTATTCTAATTCTCTTTAACACACAATCTAAATAACAGGCAGTGAAACATTAACACAGCAGGTCTGGGCTGCTCAAATCCTGAGAATTCCAAGAAAAACCCAAGTGTTCGCTTCAACACTGGCCCTTAATCGGCCCTAGGAACTGAGTCTGAGCCCACAGCATGCTGTGTGCGCCTGAGGGACAAGGGCCGCAAAACCAGGCTGGCCGACTGTCACTGCCAGCATGACAAACAGTGACCACCTGTTTCTGCCCCAGGGCTGGGGTCTGAGTAACTAGAGCAACCATGAAGGCCCTGAGGAGCTGTGTGACAGATGCCGCCAATGACAGCCCTCGACAGCAAGGCGAGCAGCCCCTTACTGACGACCCCTCGCCTGTCATTGTTAAGAGAAGAAACTTGTACTTAGAAGTTTCTTGATTTTCTTAACCAAAAACCCAACATCTTCAAAATCCATTAAATAGAGCAACCCACAATGAGAAGTGTCAGAGGAACAGTGTGGGTTCCACAGATGTAAGGTTCGGTGGCGAGGGACCGTCCCCTCAAACGGACATGACTGTCTCCCAAGTTTGTGCTCCTGCTATACGTTTCCTGACCTTGTGCTCAGCAATCTTGTGACAGGATTTCCTGATCCAGAGTGTAAGGGTTTGCACAGGAATTATCAATATTCAGGATGACTCCTAAAACAGTTTAGTCTTTCATGATGATATTGCTCATAATGTTCATCAAAACTCAGTTATTAATATTGCTTAATTACCAGGTCTATATAGAAGTCAACTCATAAATATATAATCAGAAACTTCTATAGATTTGCTTATAATGACAGTCACCAAATTTTAAAGTACATTATGCATTTTTATGCAAATTTTGGGTATTTAAAGAAAAAAGTTTCTATCTTCTTACATAATCATGTCCTGAAATACTGGAAATTATGCCGATTCCCTCTTCTAGCAAATGCATAATTCTAACTCACTATTTCCAAAGTAAAACGTCTTTACAAGAATGGTTAAGATTTGTTGAAAGATAAAGTGTTTCCATACATCTCATGGGCAGGAGAACCCAAAGTTACACCGTTACTGGCGTCTGGGGAAGCGGGCAGGATTTGTATACTCTCCTATAAATAGGCATAAATCTGGAGGCAGCTGTGAACAGCCTCATCTGAGCAGGGATGAGCAACAGCCAATGCTTCCTTCCGCACGTGCAGACAAAGCTACATGAGCGCACATACTCATTCCCCAAGTGCCTCTCACACTCCTACCTCTCTTTTTCCTTCTTTCGCGAATTATCTTCTGAGTTATCCTCCGCCACCGAGGCAAAGAACTTAGCAGTTTAAACTTGGACATTATGGAGAGGTCATTACAAACTGCAGGTCTCAGTTCGTTGAAGAGGAATCTCAAGCGTTCGATGACTGGTGCACAGACCTCCTTGTAAGAACGGCCCTGTTCTTGATGTGTCTACAAGTTAAATGGGAAAAGACAACTTCAGAACATATTTTACCAACTGGCTGAAAGGCCCAGAATTAAAGAGAATCAAAAACCATTTACCTTAATGAGTGAGCATTTTGCCTGGTAGACAACTCTACAAACGTCCACCACCGACTTAGGCAATGTTCTCTGTTTTACTTGCTCAATACCAAATGCGCCTGCATGAACTAAGGATAATGCCACATGTCCTGTGAAAGGCATTGAAAAGAGAGGTCCAGGTAGGAATGAAAGTCTATTTCATGTCAATTGAAAGACTTAAAAGTACAGCAAAAAAAAAAATAAAGAAAGAAAGAAAGAAAAGAAAAGAAATCAAGCCTCAAACCTAAATCTTCATGCTTTAAGAGACAACACAGCAGCAAGCGGCCGACCTCCTCCACAGGATGCTCTGGAGGAAACGTGATCGGAGTCGTCAAGTGGCACTGCCTACAGTACCTTTCGATTTGACACAGAAAATCCTGCAACAGAGACAGGTGGCGATAATTTCAGGGTCACCCCAGCACAATGTCAAAATCCCAAACTGTGTGCCACTGCCTGTGAATTGCCATCACACTTTGCAATGACTCCAAAACCTCCCACGTATGTAGAATTAAATCAGACTCTCGCCTCAAACCAGACCTCCAAGCAACATGTACATAAAGTCCCTTGCTAAGCCAATCAAAGAATGTGCAAGGGTTCATACAGCAAAGTCCCAGAGTACCGGGGAGGATCTGAGGGGGCAGTGGGGAAAGGCATCCCCCACCTTCACATTGTGATCCTGGATGTTGTTATCTGCAATGGCCTGCAGGAATGCCTGGGACTGGTCCCCCAGGGCCCGTCTGTGGGAGCAGAGTCGGGACTTGCTGGCCGGCGTCCCCCCAGGTGAACTACAGTGGTCCTCGTCTTTCTCTTCATTGTAGCTGTAGTGGATCTGGCTGGTCTGCAGGCCTCCGGAGAAGATGGAAGACTGAAGCCACTCTAGAAAGTGCATGGACAAAGATTGAAAAGAACCACAGAAATAAATACTGAGAAAAAGCTATAGAACTAAATACTCAATCTGGGAGAAATGCAGTATCACTCATATGAGAGAGTTACATGTAACATACTGATACATATTGACTCATCATTCCTGTTTCTTTAGGAAAACAGGTTCAGACTTTCTGGTTACTCAACAGGGAAAGCAGTGTTGAGGGATCATGTACACAAGTAGTCCCTCCACTCCATTTCAGTTGGGAAAACTTTATGCTACGAGGTACTACAAGAGGTACAAGAGCGTGACCAAAAGCCCTCCATTCTCAGAGGCGAGTAAAGGGTTCACTTCTACTACAGAAGCAGAGACTGAGCTGGGATCTGAACACAGACAGCGGCTGAGTGTCCAGGCAGAACAGCACATGTGAAGGCCACATCTGTCCACACCATTAATCGAGTAGTTAAGAGTAAGGGACTACTAAAGACACAGTCTACACTCTTTAGTAAGACATGGGTCCTTGGAGGCTGGAGATCCTATGGACTGTACAGGAGACCTGTTTATCAGACGAGGCCACAACACTCTTTGTATCATTATAACTGCTATGGTAACTGGAGTAAAAATCACTAAAAAGGAATCAATTTTACAGGGCAGTACAGACTTCTCGGAAATGACCTGTATTATGAAAATATTCCTCCAACATTCAAGCAGTCAAATCTGGGGTTTTCTTTACTAGAAATTTCAATTCTAGAGCAGTCGGTAGCACCTTGAAGCTGGCCACAGCTGCTTCAGTGTGAGTTTGATCCCCTGCCCTGGAGGTGACCACATGGGGCGGCAGACCTCTCCTGACTCGCCAGCTGCTTTCCTCAGCTGTGTACTTTGTCGGTCTGCCTGTTCTGCTCCCCACTCTGACTGCAGTGAATCCTCTCACAGGCCTCTGGCCTGTATGTACCCCAGTTCTGTATACATAAACAAATCTTTAAAAAATAAATAACTGGCTAATCTTAGCAGAAAGCAAAAGTCCTTACTGGCACATTCGACCTCAACTGGAGACAGCGGCGTGCTCATCGCTAAGTAGGAGGCATGCAGCCCAAGCAGCAGACCCAGATTCCTCTCTGTGTCTATCAAAGGCGAAGACAGACTTCCCAGGTCCGGTACAGTAACGACTTCTTGGTCAGGCTGGGAAAAACAAGATTCACCGTCAGTCTGAGAAAACAGAGTAACAATAACAACAAACAGACAGCCAGAAGGTGCAATCATAGATCTCCTTCAACAAGATGACTGCTCTGACGACGAGCAGCAGGGGCTCTGGGCACTGGCACCACGCTGGGTAAGAGCGAGTGCAGGCTGACCACACACCCCACGAAGTAGAGAGTGAGTCACCTCTCCTCTAGGGAAAACCCAGAGCCAAGCTATTTAGCTAGAAAATTCCTTAGGGAGTCAAACAGAATTTTCTGAAGGGATTGTACACAATGCTTCAGAAAATATTCTGTGTTGCTACATGCATAAAGAACCCACAAAAATAGGACAAGTATTGTGAATTAGTGAACTAACATGTGGAAGAAATAAATTTCCTCCTCAAAGAGCAAACACATTTAGAAAAAAGTTCAAATGACAATAATCTGGAATTTTGCCAGTCCATTTAGACAATTTACAGTTAATTTTCCTTCATAAAATGCTTTAAGTCTGATTCTTTGTGACACAGAGTAAGTTTTATTACCTCTCAAAAGTCAACCCCAATATATAAACTCCAACATCCATGAACATATCAGAACATATTTCTATTTTCAAAAATTATGCTACTATAGAGCTCTTTCCCCAAAGTACACATCTCAAAATAGCAAGCCATTCCAAATTTCTATATAACCTTCCAGTAAAATTGTAGAACTCAAAGGTTACACCTCTTCGTAGAACAGTGTCTACATTTCTTACACAGTAATAATTTTTAAAATAACTTTCATAACACATCACAAAGCTTCACAAGAACAAATAAAAACTCATTTTACTGAAAAAAAAAATCAGTAAAAGATCATTACCACTCAACGATCCCCCTATCTCCATCCAACTCAAAAATTCCAACCAAGATGTCAATAATTTAGGGTAAAAACCTCTTATTGCAAACAGAGAGGTCTCTGCTGAAATCCTCGCTGGCCTCATGGACTCATTCTCACTTCCACACACTCATCCTTACCTCCAGATACTGGCCAACACAAAAGGCATGCATTGACTCGCGTGTGTCTTCAAACTGCAAAGCAGCTTCCAAAGCAACCACTGGGTCTTCCCCTGCAAACTGAGCTGAAACAAAAAGGATGAAAGCCATATCACTTCAGTACAATGGCCAAAACAGCTAGAGCAGGAATGGCAGGTGGGAGAGATTGGGCGGTGAACTCCAAAGTGAGGGTCACCAAAGTACAAACATCTCTCACCCAGTCCTGGAATGACCAGGCCAAATAAGAGCATGGAACAGATTCCAAGAAGTGTTGGGGGGGGGGGGGTGAGGAGAATGTATTAATGATGAAGAATTTTTCAAATGTGGCTGAATTCACTGACAAAGACCAAAGTCACTGATAGATAAAATTGTGTAGAAAATGGAACAGTAAACTGATCACTGAAAAGCCCAAAATGCCCTAGTTAAAATATGTATGCTGTAACTTTTAACCTTGAGCTGAAAAGTTCAGCCTTACCAAGAATGCTATTTCCTGTTAATGACTGTGTCTGGAAGTCCTTTATGTCATACACTTTCCCATCAATCACAGTCCAGAAGCCTCCATCTTTGTTGTGGTTCTCCAAATCAGCCTTGCGTATAAGTGTCACCTCCTCATTATTTCTACAGTTCTGACCTGTAAAAAATGACTCTGTATATACAGAAACCAAAATCAATGAGTCAATAGATCATAGATAAAGTAAAAGGAAAGAAAAGGAAAAACAGACAAATGCACAATCACAATGGAAGTAACATATTCCCCATAACTAACATCACAAAAGGTCAACAAGGATATATACGATGCTGTTTAAATAAAAAGCAAAACTACTTGAGCAGCATGAACAGCAAATCTGACCATAGGCCAGACAACAGAGCAAATCTGCAAGAAATGAAATTGCAGAGCATGTGCATTTGCTACAGTGCATAAACTAGAAATAGGTAACTATTAAAATTCTCTACATATTTAAGAATTATGAAATAGTTATAAAAAACTCAAATTCCAAGAAAAAATATTATGAAAATCACAAGTGCAGAGAAAAGAGCAATAATGAAAGTACTACTGATGGTGTGTGTGCCATACAGTTAAGTGGACGCTTGAGAGCATTTCCACCTTTAAATGTATATAAGGCGAGGAGAGGAGAAACAGCTGAAGAAATTAACAGGTTAATACACATCAAATAAATAATGCTTTTGAGTTCATAATAATACTCAAAAAGCCCATAAAAAACGGTTAAGTCAGGTAGAGAGGTGAAAGGCATCAGCTAGGATCTTGTCCTACCTGTACACTTTACATGTCACACAAATCCAACAGCTGAGAGCAAGGCTGGTGGGGGACTGTATAAAAGATGCACCACGCATAAACTTCCTGGTGCATCGGAAGAGAAGGTGGGGTCACCCAGAATCCCAGGTCGCTGGGCCCAAGAGACCAAAGCATGGCCTCAGACACACTCTGACTCACCAAAACTGAATCCAAATCTGATCAAGCATCTACATATAACCAAGAGTTAAGTGATAAGAGATGTTAGTCTAAAAGAAAAGAATACAAGCTGCCAGGGTCAGAAAATGTGAACTTCTCTGGAACAAATGCCTGACTTTTTTGAAAAATACACAGTATGACCAAAGAGAAGAGAAAAGGCCAGGACCTATGCGATCATGGGAAAAGACTGAGGTACATGACTTGTTTAGATCCTGGTTCAAAACCACAAATAAGGTGGGCTTTTTATATAATACAGGAAAAATTGAAGATGAATTTCATGACAGATTAAAGAACTAATCCTAATGTTATCCTAATGACACTGTTTTCGTTATAAAAGTAGTATCATTAACAGGTAAAGTGTACTAAAATTTTTTGTTTAAAGACAAAGTTGTTTTAAAATAATTCAGTCAATCAACAAGATAAAAAGTGTAGTATAGGAAGGTTTGGAGGGTGTGAACAGTTGGTAACCTAAGTTCATTATACTATTCGCTCTACTAACCTACATTAGAGAAGTTTCATAATAAACAAATCATATCATTGGAATAGAGTACAGAAACAATCTTCAAATAGATGATCAAAACTACAGTGTAGGCCTACTTCACCCCATTAGAAAGGCTAATACCGACTGAAAGCAGGAAAAAACGTGTTAATGAGGATGTAGAGAAATCAGCATTGCCTCTGGGAAAGTAAAATGGTAGAGCTGCTACAGAAAAAAAAAAAACATGGCAATTTCTCAAAAGGTACGTAAAAAGAGAATTACCCTACAACCCAGCAACTCCATTTTGGGCTTAAAACCCAAAAAAGTAAAAGCAGGAATTGGAACAGACATTTATTTGCACACCTGATTCACAGCAGCATTAGTTACAGCAACCAAAAAGTTGAAATCACCCAAGTGGCCATTAACAGACAAATGGATAAACAAAATATGGTGTGGTATAGAAACACAATGGGATATTAACCAACCTTAAAATGGAAGGAAGTTCTAGCCATGCTACAATGTGAATGGTCAATGAAGACATGCTAAGTGAAATAAGCCAGATACCAAAAGAAAAATACTGAGTGAGTTCACTTATATGACATACCTAGAGTGGTCAAATTCACAGAAACAGGAAGTAGAATGGTGGTTGCCAGAGGCTGAGGGGAGGGGGGAATGGGATGTTAGAGGTTAAAGGGGAAACAGCTTCTGTTGAGGTAAAACAAGCAAGTTCTAAAGATGGAGGACAGTGACAGTTGTACAACAAAGTAAGTGGGCTTAATACAAGAGGGCTATGAACTTTAAAATGGTCAATTTCATGTCACTTATATTTTTCTCCAATAGAAAAAATTTTAAGGATTCCTACTTTATTCCAATCCCACCCACCAAAAAAGCTGTTCACAAAGAAGACCACAAACCAAGATGATTATTAGGCAAAGTCTACCAATCTTGCATACACTCTTCAAAAAAAAAGAGAATATTCTTCAACTGATTCTATGAGACTAACTCCTGCTACCAAAACCTTGAATGTCTGGTACTGTTTTGCACAATCAGATTTTCTCGTGACTGGCTAAACAGAATTTAACAGGGGTCGCTTGCAGGGAAAATGTCCTCTTCTTGATTTATGGCATTTTTCGTTTCAAAAATAGATGGCTGGTTTAGGCTTTGAAAAATTAGTAATTTATGCATTTACAGAAAAAGAGAAGAGACAAATGAATGTTGCCAAGAGAGGCGGGAAAACACTGGATGAAATGTAATGTCCATTCATAAGAAAAAATTCACTGCAATGCAGAAATAGAAGTAAACACCCAGGGACGGGAGACAGACGGGGAAATGGGCGCAGGCGCTTTGTGGAGGGCAAGTGGAACATGCACACATGGGAGAGCAAAAACATAACCCCCAAAATAAAAATTAAAGCTGCAAAACTAAAAGAGTGAACATCCTTAATATTTAGAAGGCCCTACAGAGAACACCCTATACAACAAGCATGTGCCGCACCTGACAGCTGACAGCTGTTCTCAGTTCCTGGGAATTCAACATGGAGGCCTTTGCTAGTCAGCAATGCAGAGGGGCTGAGACCACAGAAACACCTGACTTGGACAGAGAGACGGACCAAGGGCAGCTCCTTTACCCAAAAGGGGCTGACCCCAGGACCCTCTGGCCACAGTGCCTGTGGAGAGCATGGCCCTCTTGGCGCAGATGTGGAACAAAGAACCTGCCCACTCTGGTGGACAAGAAATCAGCACAAGCACCGCAGAAACCCAGGAGACTGGAAAAAATGCATAGCGTCCCAGCTACCAAGAGTCAGGAATGTTTCAGTGACCCCACTGGCTAGGGACACATGCCCAGCTGGTAAAACGACTGAGAAGACGGGCAATGGCCACAGAGTGAGACATGGGAACCTGTCTGCGAAATGACGGGCAGAACTGGGGAGGGTCCTAGCAGACTTCTACTTCTTAACCTGGATGAATGTGTGTGAAAAGTTTTCTCCATGACTGATCAGAGTTGCTTCTGTACTTTTATGTTCATGCTGTATTTTATAATTTAAAAATAAAATGTTTAATGAACAAATTTGAACTGCTGGTGAAATTAAATGTTTAGTAGACACAAACCATAAGCCATGTTCAGCAAGTAAGATAGAAAATAAAAAATGCCCATTTAAGCTCACAAAAGTTAGGTGAAAGCTTAGTGGTATTTAAAAAAAAAAAAAAAAAATCACACTAAGCCCAACAGCCCAGGGATATTTTCCTCAGGACAAGGGTAATTCTTGTTCAAGCTCATGTTACAAAGTTGATGACTGACCCACTTTGAGCTGTCCTATAGAAAGGAAACTTAACAACTTCAACTAATTCTAAATCAGAACCTTGGTCACTTAAAAATTTAAAAACATTAACATTCAAAGCTTCAAGAAGAAAACTTTCATTCCAACTTGTCAGCAGTGCAAATGGTACTAAAGGAAAGCCCTCGGCTGCCTGCACACACTCCCTGGCTCAGTTATGTCAGGTACTGGGCAAGGATTTCACCGAGTCATTCCATGTCAATGTTTGCTCCAAAGTGGGACCCTCTCTACCCACCTCAACCAAACCTTTTGGAGACAACTCCCAGGAAAGGGTGTTCCAGAACTTTCTAAGATAATCTATTTCAGGATATAACAACCAATTCTAACAGAAAAATCTTCCTCGAGTGTAACCCAAGTCTTTACTGATTTATCTTTTTTTTTTCTACTACCATTAGTGAAAACAGCAGAAGACTGTCTTCCCTTGTAAAGAACACACAAAAAAAAGACTAAGTTATACTTTAACATATATATGTAACTTTCCTCAATGGAAGTCCTTAAGTTAAGTTGCCATACCCATGATGCCAGGCCAGGCTAACTCTTCATGGTCGTCCCTTTCCTTCCCTGGCGCCAGGTGATTAAAGCGATCCAGATGTTCAAGCAGGCCGCCCAGCAGAGGGACAGCGCCAGCCTCCTGCATGAGACCAGCATTTTTACTGAGCAAAAGCACTATAGAAACGACCAGTTCTGGAAGAAGAACACCTACATTTAAAAAGAAGAGAAAGAAGGATTAAGATTTAATAAAAGCATCTATCCTGCAGAACCAATTTATAAAATTACTCTATTTAAATTCTGATAAATCGCCAACAAAATATCATTGTCCTTTAACATATTTCTACAAGGTTATTTTTTGGTTCATTTTGAAAGCTAGAGCTGCTAAAGGTATCAAACGGAATACTTTCACTTGTGATCCTTTTCAAAAATATTGTTCAACACAGAACAGTAACTGAAGACTTTTACTGGAAAACTGCCTGCCACTAATGTTACTACTAAGAAAAAATGCACTCAATAATAATGTTCTGCTATCACAGAATTAACTTTTAAAAACATTAAGCAATATTATCATTTTTTTCAAGGTCCTGAAAGGGCAATCGAATTTCTCTGCTATGAGACTGTCAGATTGCATGATGAAGTATCGACCTCATTACTGAAGTATTAATAATGGTGGAAGATTCTCAACTGCTAATTGTAGGTATAGTGATATGAATCCCATACCAGGTGACTTAACAGAACTGTCAGTAACTAAAAACACAAAAAAAGGAACAACAGGACTAGAAAATCCATGGGATAACGGCATACAGACTGATCAGGAAATGACACATTTTAACTTTTACCCATCTTGGAAATAAACACATATCCCCATGCAGGAAACAAGAGCGGTACCAGTGAAGTCGCCTTCCACAATGCAGGCCACCTCTGCGAAGTGGCGCCAGCTGGTGGAGGCGATGCTGGCGGCCACAGGCAGTATATCTCCAATGTGTGTGCACAGCAGGGCCGTGTACTTCTTGAGCAGGGAGCCGACACCCATCAACTCAGGACCTTGGAGAAGGATTTAGAAAATTTCATTTGCACTGTTCAAATTTTACTTTGGACTTCGGAGGCAGAGTAGAAGCAAAAAAATTCTTTTTTCTTTTATTTTATAAATTGTTCTACTATTCCACTCTCATCTTTACACTTTTACCTGTAATAAATGTCTTAAATAGTGGTCTCTAACCACTATGGCCTTGGTCTTTTCATATCACATCACTTGAGGCACAGTGAATCTGGTCAGGTTGGTTTTTACACATTCTACCATACAGTACCTAAAAACTCTGAGCATATAAATACTAAGGTCAGAATCTACGGAGTTTTTTAAGCTCCACGTACAATACACAAATGCTTTCTAAGCTCATGCCTAAACATTTGTAAATTACTCCCAATAAACAAGCTATACACTTTTCAGTCTCACAAAATCATCAACTTTTCTTTTAACGCGTTTTTAATAGCTTTTCAGTCCTGTGGCCTTATGTCTTTGAAAGAGTTACCTCTTTCAGACCGTAGTTCAACCGTAGTTCTGAACCTGAAATTTTCCACCCTCTTCCAATATCTAATTTTTTTCATAAAGGAGCCAAGTTATTGTATAACACATGAACTCTAAAAATATTAACAGAAGTGGCAGGCCTCTGCATCCTCGGCAGATAAAGCCACCACCACTGGAAAAGCCTCCATCAACACGGCATCGACCCGTGCTGGCCACCTGCATGTCGCCCTATGTTAATCCTCACAGCCACCCTCAGGTGCTACCCCAGTCCTGGAGTAAGCCATTTACACAGCCCTCAGGACATTTAGCCCCATGTCCAGCAGTTAATACATCAGTATAACTGAGGCCCAACCTGGCTTCCCAGGAAGACACACTCTGTCACGCTTTCATTCCCACATTACAACAGTCTCCAATGGCCCATAACTAACACATGGCACAGATGGGATAAACCTTCTGTACAACAAAAATGGACATACAGGATGCTACTTCTCATGTCTGAAGAGTATAAATACTTAAGACAATGAAATAAATTTAAAATATTGGCATTGATATATTTGATTTAAAAAAAAAAAATAGTGGAAGCAAAATGAGGTCCTCCACAATCAGTGCATAAAATAGTATAGACAGGCAGAACAGGAATGTCAAAAAACCTAAATAAGAAAGTAGTAGATACGCATTAAGACATACATTTTAAGTGACTTACTAGAAGTATCTGCAGTCTGACCAAAACTTTCTCCTGGATAAAGTTTACTGATAAGTAAGCGCTGAAAACGCAGCAACAAATCCAAGGAAGCAGATCTTTCACGACTGTGTTGCTCATAGTCCAGACACGATGAGATCTGACGCGCAACATCTTTCAATCTGGCTACTGTCTGAGAAGCAATGTTTCTACGCGGGGGAGAGGATTGCAAAATTAAATGAATTATGTCTATTAAAAAATCCTGACACACTAAAATCAGAAGAAGATCATCCACTAGCTGCCTTCAGACTGGCCCCCCACAAACATCTGTCTGGTGTGTCTGCAGTAAGCACAGCCTCCACTGAAGCAGAGCCAAGGAGCCCAGAAGGCCCCAACGACACAACGATGCCCTTTCATCTTACAAATGTGTCCCTGAGAGCTGTGTGCAGTGGTCCAAAATAACAGAATGGGACAAACCTGTGGAAAGGAAAACTGGGTCATTTTTTCCCCCTAAATCTGCATTTCAAATATAAATGTGACATTACCTTGAGGACAAGATTTACGCCACTGCTGCACCAGCCTTACAAGTCTGCCTGTAGCACCTACTGCAGGATGGCACGCGGATGGCCCACGTGGGGTGCCCAGGGCTCAGAGCGTCCAGGAAGGAAGGGCAATGCGGGAACAAACCCATCAAGTCAGGTAACAGGCCCCAGGAGCACCAAAGAGAAGAGCAGAGACTCCCACCCCAACTCTGGGCCCTAACTGGAGCCATGAACCACCACTAAGGGGAGAAATATAAGAAAACTGACTCTGGGAAAGTACAATCAGAAGAACTGTAAATGCTTCTGGCTCCAAGGGCAGAATGCAAGGAGCAGGGATCAAGAGCCAGGAGGACAAGACAAAACGAGGCAGGGGAGTGGGCACTGCAGGAGGTCAAAGTGCCAGACTGCTACAGGGAGCTTCTGCAACACTGAGCCACCACGCCTGAAACAGGACTCAGCCTTCTGTGTCTTGGGTATCTCTGAGGTCACTGAGAAGGCAGACTGAAAGGGAGAGGGAACCCCAGACAAAACGCTGTCCCGGGCCAGTCCAGCCCCTGGTGATAAACCCCTGACCCCGTCACTGAGAACAGAGCAGGAAATGGTCAGTGGAGAGGGGTCAACCAGAGTCTGGCTCCAGGGTTGCTGTCCCAGCAGCTCCGTCACACCAGAGCTGCCCCAGGGAGAGGGCACAGGCCAGCTGGCACCTGGTGCTGGCACCAGTCTGGGATCTCTGCTGCACACCAGGCCACAGGCCTCAGTGACACTTCCTTGAGTCCTAACGCGACAGCAGGTATGTGGAAAGCCTCTAGCAGTGGCCCCTTCCCCATGATTCTTTCTGGAACTAACAGCGTAAGTGATGACGGGAGCAGCAGACATGACTCTAGGGCCCAACACACCCTTAATTCACAAATTATCCAAGAAGCTCAGAAAGAGCAGGAGCACTGGGCTGATGCATGGTGCCACTCACAGGCCACACGAAACCACAGGCGCTCACTGGGCCTCAAACTGACCTCACTTTCTACTGCCACCATCTCCTAACACCTCCACGATGGAGGACACAGGTACAGACTGAGTGGATGCTACATGTGAAGAAATGTACAGCAATAAGATCCAGCAAATGCTTAACTTATTTCCTTAACATAAAATTCAGAACCACAATCAAAATGGGTAATCCTAACAGAGTTCACTAATCTCAAAAATGTCACAGCTCTGTATTTTATGCCAGCTCCTTGCTAGCATAAAACTAATGACTCACTCTCAGATCTGTTTTCTTGCTTACTTTATGGCAAACTGTCATTTCTTCAACCTGTCTACCAAGGATAAAGTACATGAAATGTCTCCAAAATGCCTTTACACTATTTTTCAACAACTGGGGGATCGAACTCGTGCTGCAGTGGCTGCCGGCAGTGGCCCGGTGCTGTGCTTTAACCCCGTGCAGCACCAGGGAGACCCCTCTAAAACAATACATCTTTGTTAGGAACCTTCTGTGCAGGCAACTCTTCCTTGAGGGCTGGAGGAACCAAACCCCGCGCTCGGTAAAGCTGACGCTCCGGAAACGGAGCTGCTGCCAGGATGGCCCAGAGCACGGCCACAGACACGCCGCCAGGAGCCGTGGGAGCGGTGGTACGTGTGCTCCAGTCACGCGCACAGAAGTAAAAAAATGTATTTACCTCAACATATTGACAATACCATCACTTCAACATGATCCCAGTAAGTAGGAAGAGTCTGCCTGATAATGCCACAAACAGGTACTGAATTTGGGTTTATGCTTTTCAGCTACATCTGAAGGTGAAGATCTTTCAAATATTTCCTATCACTTTCTTCCACATCTGGTCTTCAAAAGCCATGGTGCATGTTATACCTACAGCATATCTCAATCTAGATAACTAAATTTTTATTGGAAATTCTTATCTGCACTGAGCTCATAAAATGCAGTTCAGAAGGCAAATTCATATAGCCAAGTTACTCCCAACATCTTTCCAAGTTCTCTAATCGCTAAAACTAAATAGCTAAGTTTTTCTATATGAATCTTAATTAACAAAAAATATACAAACCAAAAAAAAAAAAAAATCAGTGTCTCAACTGCACTGGCCAGACTTCTGCTGTTCACCAGCAAACACAGGGTGACTGAGGAGACGGTACCGGCCTAGTCCGTTAAGACACACAGGACACCCCACACCAAAGAGCAGTCTAAGCAAAGGCAGGAGCAAGAGCCGACCCCCCGCGAGCACAGGAGCCCCAGGGGCAAGAACAGGGACCCTGCACTCTCTCTCACCAGGGACACCCAGGGTTTCCACACAGCCTCCTCAGTGAAGGAGAACTGCTCCAGAACTCACTTCCTAAGACACCGGACACTATAAAACAGCACTTTTAATGACAAAGCACTCAGCATCCCTTTTCTGTCACTCTAACTTCAGCTAACTCTGCGACATGAGCACTGCTCCTGGTCTTGTTTAGTTACCAAACTTAGCAAAGCTTCACCTTTCAGCCTGTATATATATAGGAGAGCAGTCACAACAGAAATTTTCTAGGGAGAAATCCCAAGCTGTTTCCACTAACAGAGACTACACTGAACTAATTCCCTTCATTTCAATTTGTTAAGTAGAGGATTAAAATGTATGAAATGTTGATTAAAAGGAAAAATCATTATTAGGCTAGGGGGAAAAATAGGAAAAGGGCTTTTAATTTGCATTTCTTAAAATCTATGTTAAGGAGTTAGCTCTTTTAATAGTTCACTGTGTGTCCACTAAATTCTGGAATTTCCAGCCTGTCACACCACAGGGCCTTCACACTGGATTCAGCTCCCTAAGCCAAGTTTCCAGATCTCCACTTTCTCTAAGTGTGGAAAAACCAGGTACCAAGTTTATATACAGCTGAGTTTTGTTAAAAAGAGGGCAACAGTGTCCTCCCTGGTGGCACAGGGGTCAAAGGCACACTGTTATCAAACTACCTCTAGCCACTGCAGTACAAGTTCCATTCCTGGCCAGGGAGCTGACCCACATGGCGCAGCAGCCTTTCTCCTGCCTCACCTCTGCAGTATATTTCAGCAGATCCGCCTATTCTGCTCCCTACTCTGTCACTGATGAATCCTCCCACCCCCACATCCTACACCTCTGGCCTACACCCCAGCTCTTGTATGCATAAATAAATAAATCTTTTTAAAAAGGGAAGACAACAGTTTGCTGATGTCCAAAAACTGCCCTTCAGAAATCACCTTGCTTATTCCACTCTGTCTGACTGGCACTCACTCACCAGCGGGCCTTTCTCAGCAGCTTCTGCCCACTTCAGCCCAGGCAAGGTTAGCTGTTTGTATTCTGAGTCTTCTTTCTTAATCCTTACTTTTTATTCTTTTATTATTCTAAATTAAAGCTTGTTTAAAATGTGTTGTACAAAGTAATGTATATTAATCTGATATACAGAATGACACAGAATTGCAACTGATTCAAAAAACTAACCTTACCACGATGATTTTCATTTGCATCTACCTGCCTCCTAATAATGACAAGGATCTCTTCCTGTGTTTACCTCACACACCAATTTCTCTTGTGTGGAAACCTTTAGAATCTCAGCTCTGCCATATATAACCAACTCTTCTCTCATCTATAATCAGAAGTCTGTTCTTTACCTAGAATCTATCTGAAATAAATTTCAGAGTATTTCCTTAACAGCTAAACACATTTTTGAGAGACTAGGTGCTAGATTTTACTATCTAAATACAAAACCAATAATCTTCCGTTAAAGTACAATAAAGCTATCAGTATTTACCTAAGAAGCTGCTGTATAAGCTGAACCAGAGGCAAACACTGTTTTCCAGAAGATTCATAGATCCCTGTATTAATAAGGTCTTTATCCAGTGGAGTCCTACTTCTATGAAATGTGGAGGCATTCGCTTCCTGTTCATCAATTTCTTTTTCCTTCTGTGCTTCTTTTTTCGCTTCAATATCCTGTAATTCATAAAACAGAGACTGGTTACCAGTTATCTTAGCAGTAGTTATGAAGGCACCCTGGGCTGAGCCCTGATCCTTGTTGTAGTCTGATCTCTGTCACATATCTGGTGACAATGGTCCAGACCCACCTGTCAGCAATCCCCGCCCTTATATTAATCAGTTTCTAAACTCAATCATCCTACAGTCCCATGTCCAGGCTGACAGTCTCTGTGAAGTACTTAAAATCTTCACCCCTGTTCCTGGCTCATACAAAAAGCTGACATAATCTGCCCCATCACACAGAAGCTATCTGCCTTGTAAACATGAAGCAACAATCTATAGAACAGAAAAACTTTCCCAAATCACATATCTGATAAGAGACCTATGTCCAGAATGTGAAAAAATTCTTCCAGTTCAACAATTTAAAATAACCAATATAATTTAAATACTGGCAAAGGATCTGAATGGACAAGTCTCCAATGAAATCACACAAAAGGCCAATAAGCACATTAAAAGACATGCTGTCGGGAACAAAAAACAGCATGTCAACTTAAGAAAACAATCTCACTGCTCCTCAGAACATTCAACATAGTTACCATAAACCTCAACAACTCCATTCCAAAAAGATATATTCACACAAAACCCAGGAGATACTCAGAGAGTTTTAGTCACAATAAAACAACAGTGGAACCACCCAAAAGTCCATTAGCTGATGAATGTGCCATATCTATACAAGAGTATGTTGTTCAGACACTGGAAAAACTAAAGTTCAATGTGGATGCTACAACCTAGATCAACTTAATAAACACCAATAAAAACCAGACTCAAGTCACCGAGTGTATGACTCCATCTCTATGAAATGTTTAGAACAGAGAACTCTGGAGATGAAGAGCTGTAAAGCCTGGGAGGAGTGGGAGACAGGGAGTGACTGTGAGGGGCATGGATTTCTTTTTGGAGTTAGATTGTGGAGTGATGGCTACACAACTATGCGAATATACAAAAAACACTGAACTATATATACATTTTTAAAGAGGCAAGTTTATAGTATTAAATTAGATTGCCATAAAGCTATTATTTAGGAAGACAAAAAAATGGAGGTATCTTTTCCAAATCAAATGTAATCAATATCCCAGAAGACTAACTATGAAACAAGCATTGTTCTAGTAACCAAATTTATTGAGAAAAAGCAGACTTCATTCCTCTGGGCCTAATTTTTTTTTTTTTTTTGCTGACAAAGGGCCTAATTTTTTTAAAGACAAAATGTAAAATAGTCTAACTACAGTCCTCCTCCATCCCAAGGAGTAGATGTAGAGAGCAAGGTCCCAACTCCTTGGTAGCAGTGGGATTCCTCTACCCACTCCAGGAATAAGACAGCAACAGGGATCAGAAAATTTTAAACTCTCAGGCTTTCGACCCAGAAATTTCATTTCTAGAATGTTTTTCCCAATAATCAGTCTTACAGTCAGTGACTTATGCAACTACAAGAGTGTAATTTAAAATAATAGCAAGAATATCTGAACCCTAAGTGGTAATAACAGTAGATTATCAAAAAATAAAAGTGATCCTCTTCCCGTATGACACAATTTCCCTAAGCGACAGAACGAAAGGACAGACACAGCAGCAGAATATTCAAGACTGAACACGGCAGCCTGTGAGTAAAGATGCAAATCGACAGATGACTGCGAGCGACCCTGGCGCCATAATCAGTATCATTAGCAAACACCTGCATTTTCAAATGTCTAGAACACTATAGATGAAAAAAATTAACTATGATTATTCTAAAGGTTTTGCTGTTGTTGTTTTTGTGACTTTCTACAGCTTTGAACACTTTTGTTTTAAAATAAAATAGGCTTTTAGCTATTTTTTTCGGCAGCCTATTTATGAGATCATAATCCATATGTCTTTCTATCCTCCATCCCCCACAACCAGGCTCTCTCCAGCAGGAAGCACAGATTTTGTAAGTTAACAGCTTCTAAAAATACTGCTTGGGTAATGTCAACATTCCGGTGTGGTCTACTGCTAATGGAGGGAGCTATGCGATGGAGCCCTGCAGGCCTGGAAGAGAAAGAGGGGCTTGGAGTCAGCAAATGCACTGGTCCTAAAAGCTTAGCAAATACCTAAATTCCTGTGGTAATTAGGTCCTTTCTATAAAATGGAATTTTAAAACACATTCCCCACAAGATGGCTGACAACATTGAAAGAGAAAAATGGAAGTATATATGGCACAGACCCTGGGCTACAGCAGGGACATGGAGCGTAGCAGCAGCCACTAACATTATCACATATTAATTTTTCCTTATGTTTTTTATTTAGCCATGGTAGTTAAGAATGTTTTTAAAGACATATTTTTAATTAACTGATTTATCTTTAACTGAAAAAATATCCAGATACCTGTCAGGTACCACCATGGTGCACCCACCACCAATACCCCTGTCGTCCACCGCCGAGATACCTGCTTCTTCTCTCTCCATTCTTTCCCCTCCCTGCTCAAAGACAACTGTTGATGTGCTTAGTTCATCTAATTTTATCAGTATGTAAAAACAACCATCGTCACACTAAAGCAAGAAAAGAAGCTATGCAAGGCCAACAAGCAAGTGCAAAGGAAAACTGACACCACACCGAGAATAGCTCAAGACCGAAGGTGTGACCACTGAAAGTAAAGGTGAGGTCGCAGCAAGAATCACGTGACTGGGACGCTGGCAAATTCACTGAAACAGATGGGCTCATTCTGTCATTCTTATTACGTCAGTGACTTTCTCAAAAATAATCAAAGATGTATGTTACAGTAGTGCTCGAGTGTTACCAAGTTTTCGCTTTTCAGTAATGTTGGGACAGGTATCTCCTCGCACGTGTGCACGGTGATTCGCTCCAGCTTACCTCCAACTCAATCCCCTCCATCAGCTCACACGCACACACCCAGGGCCATACCTGGATTTCTGCAGTAATGGCTGCGTTTAAAGCTGACTCCAAGCCTCCATCAGCCATCAGGCTGCCCACCAGAAGATCGATCATGAACCGACGACCTGGACTGATGTTCACTTCATTTCCTGAAACTGGAAAAAGGACAAGATTTTTGCCAATTGAATGCAAGCACTAGGCCCTCCCAGCACACTCCTGCACCCCACCCCGCCCCGCCCCTAGCCCAAGCCCACCTGCACAGGGCAGGAGAGCAGAGAGTGCCCGAGCCCGCTCCTCTGCAGTGGGCAGCAACACGGACCAGCCACTCTGCAGCACCGCCTGGGCAGCCACCTGCACAGTGCCCAGCACACCCGCACTGCTGGCCAAGGCCACCACCGTCTGCTTCAGGCTGTTGAGGAGGACGCTGCCCAGACCTAAACCAAGGAATTCTGGGTCAACCTGGTGACTAATGGCAGCATGCAACTGAAAGGAGAAAAACAATTTTCACTTAGAAGCCCTAAAAATGAGTGGATTTTTAAATCATTAAAGACTGAATGAAACGCAATTTGAGATATTACTTAAATAAGAAAGGAAAATGTTTCGGTACATGCACTTCTTTACACTGAACCACAAAAACTTTAGCAACAGTAGTTGAGAATCCATCTTAAGGTACATTATAAGAAGAATTTTTAACCCAACAATAAATAAATATATAGAAAAGCTAAAGATCAGCAAAAGTTAAAAAATGTGGAAACAGCCAGCTCCACCCCAGCCCAGTCAGGGTACCTGACAAAGAACTAATGGGTGTGACATAACAGAGTTGTCAGGAGAGCACATACCCAAACGAAGAACACACAAGGCAATGCCTCAGAGGCCGACACAGAACTCACACAGATAAGCGTGGCGGGAGCCAGCAGCTCTGAGCTCAGACCAGACCAGCATCTTGTGACTTGAGACTCACACCCACACCCACTGAGCTGGGAGCCGCTCAGTCAACTTCCGATCCACCTCCTGGACAAACAGTGACCCACTCCCACTCAGGCTTTGCCCACAAAATCTGAAAGCCAGCCTGCCATAGGATCAGATGTGAAATCAAACATATCCAACCATCTAGGTAGATCTCTCACCCGTCAAGAAAGGCCCACCAAAGCCTACCTACAGCTTGAGAAGTCAAGGAACCTGGGAGAGAAAAATACAAAACTGTCCTTTAGTGATAGTGCCCGGATATCTCACTCAGGGATATTGCCACAGAGACATGCCCTGGCAAATACTACCTGATGGTGGCTTGGTAATCAGAAAGCATAAGCCACACCAGATCCCCACCAGGGAGAATCTCAAACAAAGCAAAAGTGAAACAGGCCCAAGAGATGGCAGTAACCAAAAAATGCATGAAATCCATTCAATAAGTAATTGTTCTGAAAGAACAAGGAACAAAATGCAGACGTGAGATGAACAAAAATAAAAGCCTTCAAAAAGACCCAAATATAGATAAATTCTAAAACCAAGAAAATAATTACAGGAATAAAACCTCAGACCAGTGTGAAGACCCAGGACCCCAGGTCCCACCCAGAATTTCTCTATGCCCCACAGCTGAGGGTCCCACCTCACAGAGGGTTGCCACAGGAGTTTAGTGAGTTAAACTAAAGTAGTGTTCCTGTTAGCATCTGTTAAAAATATGGACAACTCAACAATAGAGTATATTCATCTAAAGGGAGAATTTGTGAAGCAAAAAGAGCACTGAGCAGACCTCCCAGAAGGCTGAAGAGAAACCTAAAGAAATGAGCATTAAAAAGATAAAGATTTGGACCTCCCTGGTAGCACCAGGGGTTAAGTCTCAATACTATGAAGCTATCGACAACCACCGCAGCACGAATTCAATCCTCAACCAAGGAGCTAACCTTCATGATGCAGCAGACCTCTCCTGTTGCACTCGCTGCTCACCTCAGCGGTGTATTCAGTCAATCTGCCTGTTCTGTTCCCTGTGTCTGAATCTCGTACCTCCCTCCCCACACCTCTGACCTATATCCCAGCTCTTGTATGCATTACTAAATAAATCTTAAAAAAAATAAAAAATTCAGAGATTTTTTAATGTCAAAGAAGCTGTGATACTTGGGAGATAAAATGAGGAAGTTCAGCATATCTATAGCAGGACCCTTAGAGAAGTGTCAAAGAGGGGAGGAAGGGAGCAGCTTAAAAAGGAGGTAAACCAAAAGAGTTTTCAAAACTTAACAGATATGTAATCTCACATCAAATACTACAGCCTCAGGTTATACATACTAAAATAAATCTTTACAGACATAATGTCGTAAAATTACAACATAAAGAAAGAATATGAAAGGTTACCAAAGAAAAAGACAAATTAGCTACAAAGATAACAACCACTGCACTAAAACAAGACCTCACATCAGCAACAAAAAGGTCAGCAGACAGTACACTGTATTCACAGAGCTGATAAACAGCTTTCAGTTTTTATGACTCAAGATACTGACCAAGAAAACCCAGTGAAGGAGAAAAACAGGAGGCATAAGCTATAGTGACAAAGCAAACTGGCTTCCAAAAGACTACATTTCCAAGTCCAGCCTCTTAAAAAGTGATAATGATAATATTAACTTGAGGTAAGTGAAAAAATATACTAAGACAAGAAATATTTTTGTCCCATTTCTATTTTGACCGCTAACCTCAACCTTCCCCTGGCTGTCGACACAGAGCCCTGGAGGGAGCCACGCTTACAGTCAGGTTTTCCCGGTCCGGAGGAAGACTGGCCGGCGCACCAGCAGGCCTCTCACCTACCTCCCTTTCCTAACCGCCTGTTACCTTGCCCACTGGTTCCTCCATTCACAACCGTAAATTCAGTATATGTAATGTAATTCAGTAATGTAGACACGTAAACATTCTATTTCAGTATGTGTAAACATTACTACTTAAACTTAAGACAGTTACAAAAGGGAGGAGAAGAAGGGACATTATTAATACCTGAAGTCGCAGCAGATTCAGGGTTGCCACGGCCATGCACTCTTTCTCTTGGGGTGGCGGCCAGTCGGCAGTGCCGTCCATTCCCTCACTCACTTGCCGCAACAGGAGGTCCAGTTGCTCAAAAGTCATTGAACAGATGTCCACCACAAAAGGGACCCGGAGGCCGATGGACCACTCAGAACACGATGACCACGCAAAGCTCTGCAGAAGCAACATAAGGAAATGAACTACACACTCAGTGCTGATCTAAATGTTCACAGGAAGAGTTCACTGTTACAAATGACAAAAAAGACATAAATTATTATTTATTCATCCTTTCAATAGTCCCAAATACTTACCTGTCTGGTTCACAGGATTTTTTTTAATGTAATTAACCAGAAATGAGTAACAGAAAGATAGCAAAACAAATTCCAAGCACTTAAAAATTAAAAAACATATTTAATAATCCATCATTCAAGAGAAATTAGAAAATATTTTCAACACAAGTGAAAATATATCAAAATTTGTAGGTGCAGTTAAAGTACTGCTTAGAGAAACATTTATAGCATCAAGTAACTTTTACACCAAAAAAAAAAAAACCAACAACAACAAACTCATATCAATAATATAAGCTTCTACCTAAAGAAACATAAAAAAAAAAAACCAGTAAAGTGAGCAAGTGCAGAGAGAAGTATTATAAAACTCAAGCAGAAACCATGTAAATTAAAGCAAAAAATAAGGGGGAAATTAATAAAATTAAAGCTAGCTTCTTAAAAAGATCAACAAAATAGATAAGCTTCTACCATAAAAGACACAAATTACTATTATCAGTATGGCAGAAAAGTGTTCACTGCAAACAGTTCAAAAGGATAGTAAGAAAATACTAAAAAATATGAAGGAAAGCCATATACAAAACCTGGGAAACTCAGATATGAGGAAAGAATTCCCCAGTCCCACAAGCCAGGGAAACCTATCCAGAAAGAAATACTCTGAATCACCCCGAAGCTATTAAAGAACTTGAGTTTGTATTTTAAAACCTTTTGACAAAGCAATATCCAAGTTCAGGTGAATTCACATAAAAATACTTAATAAAGAAATAACACTCGTTCTATGAGGTTCCTTCTAACAACAGGAGGGAGAAACTTATCCCAACACTCGCTATGCGCTCAGTTTCATACTGATTTTAAAAATCAAACAAAATAGTGTCAGAACAGAAATAGTATGTCTGATAAGCATGAGCAGAAAACTCCTCAACAATGTATTACTAAATTCAGCGATGTACACAACAATAATACCCCATGTGCAAGTCAGGTTTACCCTCAGATTGCAAGATTTGGTAACTATTTCAAAGCTAATCTACGTAGTCCACTATAAAAGGAAAACTATATGTTTACCTCACTTGAGAACAGCAGCAACTGTAAAAGTTGATCATTTAGTCAAGATAATAAAAATTTCCCAAGTAGGAATTAAAGGCAATTCCTTTAATCTGCTAATAAGGTAACTGCAAAGAAAAAAACCCTTTAACTAACATCACAGTTAATGGTGAGAGTGAATGCTTCCCCTTATGATCAGGAACAGTGCAAGGGTGTCCACTCTCACCACTCACTCAACGTCATACTGGATGTTCTGGTTAGTGCAGTAAGGCAAGGAAAAGAAATAAAAGGCACTCATATTAGAGGGGAAGCAATGAAACTGTCTTCAAAAATAACTGTTTCCCAATAAAACCGCAAGGAAGCTGCTAGAACTAGTAAGGCAAGAAAGAGCTAGAGACAGCACTCAGAAATCAATGTTAGTTTTACATACTAATAAAAAATGATGGGAAACCAAATTCTACAATGTATCAAATCAAGCTCTATACGCAGTACCTGGGCAGGTCCACAAGCGATGCCAACTATGTGTTTGGTATCCAGTCCTGGCAGGGCAGTGGGCTCTGGCTTGGTCACACGCAAGGTGTCAAAGTGCTGGCACTGGTCATTGCTGCCCCAGCTGTGGACCTCACTGTCCTCAGTGAGAGCCAGGCAGTGTGTGGAGCCTGCAGCCACATCGATCACCTTCTTTCCTAGGAGGAAAGAGTGAGGCAGACACAGTTTCGCACCTATCACCTGTGCCAATGCATGTATTTACATCTTGCCAGTCAGGTAGGTCAGGAAGCCTTTAACTTCAACTCAAAGAGTAATGTGCTCCTTGAATATCGTGTACAATTCATCTGGTTCAGGTATGCTATTAAAAACCCTGTTTTATGTTTTACCAACTACAATTTTGAAGGCCTACAATCTGCAATAAGTTAATACAAAAGATTGTTAATTTTCCTTCTTCCTTATTCAGATCTCCATGCAAAAAAAAAAGGCAAGTATATTTTTAATTAACTTTTAGGTCAAATTCTCCTATTCTGAGGTAACCATGCAAGGTATATACATCTTAATTAAGATGACGTTTTTAAAGAAGTTTTAGTTCATAGACAAAGAGAAGGTATAGATCTCCATATACCCTGTACCCTAACACACGCATAGCCTCCTCATTATCAGTTGTTCATTTTTTTTACATATGGATATTCAGTTGTTCAACACTATTTGGTGAAAAGACCATCTGTTCTCCACTGTGTAGCCTCTGTTTCTTTATAAACCTCATTTGACTGTGTGGGAGTCTATTTCTGGATTCTCTATTCTATTTCACTCATCTATTTCTATTCTTTTCTTATTATCACACAGTCTTGGTTACTGTAGCTTTAGAGTCTTAGAGTTGAATAGAGTGGGTCCTTCAACTTCTTCTTCAACACTGTGTTAGCTTTTCTGGGTGTTTAGCCGCTGGATATAAATTTCAGAATCAGTTTGCTGATATCCATAAAAGAGAACTGCACTGAATCTACAGCTCAAGTTGGGGAGAAATGACACCTTGAAAATAGTGGTCTCCCTACTGACATGGATATTATCTCTCAGTGATTTAGTCCTTTAATTTCATTCATCAATTCTATAGATACCCTTAAATACAGAATTTTACATTTTTATTAGCTTTACACATAGTATTCTATTTCTTTGAATGCAAATGTGAACCAAAACAACTGCATCAACAATTACTTAACTATTCTTTTAGCAAGTTATTTTCCTCAGCTAATGAATTCAGTGGCAGAAGCTTAACTAAATAAAGGAGATATAAATAAAAAGGCAAATGACACTCCAGTACAGCTCTATAACATACAGTAAATTATACAACTTACTTCAGAAGCTTAGAAAATAAAGACCATAGGAGGACACAAAATTTCTAGTCATCAAAGTATTCACAAGCTTTAAGAAAAAATGATGAGGAACGGATCTGACAAATGCCACTCACATGTGCGACTTCCAAACTCCCTTAACAAAAGAAAAGTCCAGTATAAACAAATAAGAATCCAGGGCAAGGAACCAATGAACTTGAGCCACCATGCCAAATGCAGCCCAAAATCTGTCTGTGTAAATAAAGTTATACAGGAACAAAGCCAGGCCTATTTGTTTACAAACTGTCTGTTTGTGGCACTTTCAAGATATAACAATAGAACCGAGTAGACGGGATAAGGTATGGCCCATAAACCTCAAATACTTATAATCTGGCCCTTGAAGAAAAAGTCGGGTCACTGTTCAGATAAAGTGCCTGACACACCTCTCCCCAACCTCATCCATACTTCGAATATTAGTAAAACTGACTGAATTTTTTTTTTTAATAATTTTTTTTTTTATTAAAAAGTTTATTTTTACATCATTTTTCACATTTTTTTTTTCATCTCAATTGTAATCCCCACGGGTTTCCCATCACCAAATCACCCCTGTGCCACCACCATAGTCCCGTGCATTTCCCTCCCTTCCCCCCCCCCCCGTTTTTGATCCCATTCCCCACTCCACCCCCACAGAATGTCTCTGGTATATGGTTGTTCATTATTTTTGTTATTTTCTCGCCTGGTCCATTATACTCCTGCTATGAGTGAAACCATCCGGTATTTTTCTTTCTCTTTCTGGCTTATCTCACTCAGCATGATCTTTTCCAGCTCCATCCAAGTTGCTGCAAAAGACATGTGTTTCTCTTTTTTGGTTGCTGAGTAATATTCCATTGTATATATGTACCACATCTTTCTAATCCAGTCATCTACTTTTGGGCATTTGGGCTGCTTCCATGTTTTTCCAATTGTAAATAAAGCAGCAATAAACATGGGGGTACAAGTATCTTTTTCAATCAGTGTTTTTGTGTCTTTTGGGTAGATACCTAGGAGTGGGATTGCTGGGTCATAGGGAAGCTCCATGTTTAGCAGTTTGAGGAACCTCCAAACAGTTTTCCATAGTGGTTGTACTATAAACTGACTGAATTTTAAGTAAAAGTTAGTGACAATAATTCTAAGCCATTCTTAATACAGTCAAACAACTTTCCAATTATTATCTACACCTAACAAGATGGGAGTAAGTTTCTCACAATGATCTATCCACAGAATGTCAGCTAAAATAGAAATAAATAAGACTTTTTATAAACCTAGGGGGGAAAAAAAAAAGACCTGCAAAGTACTTTGGAAAAGGTACTAAAGAAACTGTGTCACAGGATTTTAAGTTCACATGTTGCACTCACCTTGCAAGCCTTCCAAGAGCTTGGGGTAACGAACATGCTCCTCTGTCCCATGCCCAAGTCTCTGGTTGTCACCCTTTCCCCATGAATAAACTTGGCCGTCCTTTGTCAAAGCGATAGAAAACTGACTTCCACATCGAACTTTGACCACATCCAAGTCTTGAAGCTTTTCAATCAGCTTTGGTGTTTTGCAGCCATCACTACCACCTCTTCCCAGTTTCCCATAGTCACCATCTCCCCAAGACCACACTTGACCTAAAAATTACATACATATTTAAGCAAAACTAACTGTACATCTTAATGAATGGAACTTTTAATAGGAAGCAGGGTGGCTGAAGGTTAGTAAACATTACATTAACAGCTAGAAACATTTTAAAACATCGATTATCCTATTTTAACTCTGATTTTTAGTTAAAAAAATAAAATGACACAGGGCCTCTCTGGTGGTGCAAAAGTTAAAGTCTAAGCACTATCAAGCTATCACAGCCACGCCAGCAACTGCAGCCTGAGTTCAATCCCCGGCCAGGGAGCTGACCCACAAGCTCAGCAGACCGCTCCCGTCTCCCCCACTGCTCCCCTCAACAGTGTATTTTAGTAGATCCACCTGTTCTGCTCCCCTCTCTGTGTCTGATGAATCCTCTTAGCCCCTGCACCTTTGGCCCACACCCAGTTCATGTATGCGTAAATAAAAAGAAAATCTTTTTTAAAAAAAGTAAATGACAGGGGCAAGAGAAGTTCAAATGCTATAACCACTGGGTCTCTGCCAAGGACACTAGGCCCACACGCACTTAGAGAGGAACGAGAGGGCAGCCTCTAGAGGTTCGCCCCACTCCAAAGCTCACTCCCGCCAGGGAAGGGGCCTGTTTATCCTGAGCCTGCCCAGAGCAGCATCACTCCACGTACCGTTCTCTGTCACAGCAAGGGTCTGCGCGTCCCCACTCCCGCAGGCCACGTCAATGACCTTTAATCCTTTGAGCCCAGCTACCAGCATTGGAATGGCCTCATCTTCACTGGAGCCTGCAAACAGATAGCACGGGCATTAATGCCAGCCCCTCAGGAAAGGCCAGGCCCCACCTCCCGCCTGAGCAGGCTCGGATGAGCGGGATGAGCAGTACCGTGGCCCAGGCGGCCGTAGTTGCCCCGGCCCCAGGTGTAGAGCTCCCCCTCGGCAGTGATAGCTGCGCTGTACGTGCTGCCGCACGCGATGTGGACCACGTGCTTCCCAGCCTGCTTTCCAGAGAAAGCAGAGATCACCTTAGGCTCCTCCAGAGGCCTGTGGAGAGAGCGGGAAAGTGATGACTTTCTAGGCATTTCCTAGCCAAAAAAAAAAAAATTACCTCAAAACTAAACTAGCAGAGCATCAAGACACAAGTCTGTTAGGTATCTTAAGAAATCCAACAAGTAACACCTCCATGTTTTGTTAAATGGGCCCCAAGCCTGGAATCCAACAGGAATATCAAAACAGTATCTGTTAAAATCAAGTCCATAACAGCCTCACTGAGAGGTCCAAACACAGGCCTGTCCACTTGATAGACTGCTCAGTAGCAGGAGAAAGGAACTGCGCTGCCCAAAGATGTGCCACACAGAGACAGTGATTGCCAGGAGTAGGGATGAGCGCAGAGGGGCCCAAAGAAAATTGCAGTGACCTATTTTCTTGGGAACCTTCTTTATCCTTCCCCTATATATAGGAAAGCTGAAAACTACCAGGGCCTCCCTAGTGGCCGAGGGATCAAGTCTCAGCACTTTCACTGCTGTGGCATGAGCTCCAGTCCTGGCTAGGGAATCCCATAGCACAGCAGACCTTTCCTGTCTCGTCCTCTGCTCCCCTTAGCAGTGGATTCAGTAAAAATCCACCTATGACCCTCCCTGGTGGCGCAGCAGGTTAAAGCATGGCACTGAGAAGCTAAAGCCACTTCAGCATGAGTTTGATCCCGGCCCCGGAGGTGACCACATGGCGCAGAAGACCTCTCCTGACCCACCTGCTGCTCCCCTTAGCGTGTACTTTGTTGTTCTGCCTGTTCTGCTCCCCACTCTGTCTCTGGTGAAGTCTCTCCCTGCCCCTACACCTCTGGCCTGTACCCCAGTGCTGTATGCATAAAAAAATAAATCTTTAAAAAAAAAATCCACCTCATCTGCTCCCCATTCTGTCTCTGGTAAATCCTCTCACCCCTTACATGTTCTGAACTATACCCTAGTTCTTCTATGCAAAAATAAATAAATAAGTTGAAAACACCCAGCCCACTCTTCTTTTCTATTCTGTATTTGTTAAAGTAACATAAAAAGAAGGTGAGTAGCAGGAGTGGCCTGTACGTACACGGTGTCCCCATGGCCCAGGCGTCCGCCATCCCCACAGCCCCAGGAGTACACCTCTCCCGTGGCTGCTAAGGCCAGGTAGTGGTGACCATCAGAATGAGCAGCGATCTTTACAATGTTCCTGGAGGCGAGTCCCTGGACCAACTGCGGGGCCTAAAACGGTAAAAAACAGGATTAGTTCAAGGACAAGGAAAACGACAGTAACTCTCCTCAACTGCACATCTTACTTTCACAAACCCTCTTCTCACTGAACAAGACCCTCTTTCAGCCCCCTCACCCAGCACCAACATGTCCCAATCTGCCACTGTCCCCACAAAACAGACTCCCTCACTTGTTACTGCCTGGTCCTCTAAGTCAAGTGGTTCTATCAGCTAAAAGTCAGTTCCCCGATGGGAACCATGACTGGCGATGGGTGTCACTGTGTGGAGTCCTGATCTTAACAACTAAGAAGTTCGTCTGTCCCAAAATCTGACAAAAAAGGACTACAATTTAGATTAAACATGACCAATAACATACAACGAGCAAATACTCATAGACCCATAGAAATCAGAGGACTGTGTGAATGACTAGCACTGGCCCCTGCAGCAGGGCGCCCTCGGGATACCCACCAGCGTGTCGCTGCTGTAGGCCTGCGTGTACACGCGGCCATTCCGAGACAGGATCAGGAAGCGCTTCTCCGCACAGGCGACCTGCGCGACCCCCAGGCTGGCAAGGCCGTCACACTGCACTGGCCCGATCACATTGGCGTAGTATTTCCACCCTACCAGCCCCCAACCTATGACCTCTTGCAATGAGCCCTGTAAGAGAATAAAAGGAAAGTTTCCTTTACAGCAGCAAGAAAAATTCTTTCTTAGTCAAAAGAAGGAACATCTTGTGCTAGGAGTAATACTGAAGAACTAGGAGGTAAGAACAAAGTAAGAAGCTGACTTGAGAGAACTCACACACTCCCTCAGTTAACAGCTAAGATAAAGTGACTAAACAGGTCGTGTTTGCACAGCATTTTGCTTCACCAGAAGTAACCCACACTGCAAACACACTTTAAAATGCTCAGACCAAATCAGCTTGCCCTTTGCATCATAACCACGCAGAACCCCGGAAAGCGAAGCGCAGGCTGGGAGAAAAGTATCCCTGTCAGTGAGGGTGAGGGGCCAAGTCCCATGGGAGCAACTTGGCGACAGCTGCGGGGACACATGCCAGGTGCATGTACACGAGGACACAAATGGACACACATAGCAGGGAAGACAAGCTTCTGGCAACACAAGTGTCCACCAACAGGACACTGGTTGAAAAGCTCATGGTATGTCCACCCAGAGAAGACAAAGTAGGCCGCCTCAGAAAAAAAGAGCAGTCTGCGTCTGACACAGAAAGCTTCAGCAGACACTGGGGGTGAAAACGCAAGCGGCAGAAGTATGTGATATGCTGCCACTAACGGCGATTCCAGAGAACTCGCGGATGACACGTAAGAGGGAAGCAGCAAGAGGGTAGCTGGGGTCAGGAGATGAAGGACCATGTCTTTGCATTTGATTCTGATTTCTGAACATGTGAATAAATTAATTGTTTGGAAAAAATAACTTCGAAATGAAATAAATGCACTTCATGTCAAAAATAAAAAAGCTAGAAAAATCCAGAATTACTCAGTGGTACCCGGGCAAAGTGCACTTCCATCTGACTGACCGTTTTATTAACAGCGGTGTTATCTGTGTAACCGTCGGGTGACACCGCGTATGTGTGTGTGCATCTGCGCGCCGTCTCTGGGCAGGTGCCCTGGCCTACTGGTGCTGGTACTGCCATAACCAGCACTACCACAGAGTCCAGAGCTGCAGGTGTGAAAAGAGAGCACCAGAACCTCTGTGAGGAATGCAGGATGGCATGTGCTGTGGGCGAAAAGCAAGCTCTCGGGGGTGTGTCTCCTGAGTCTGGACCTGAGGCAGGGTCCTCAACCTCTGTGGTGTCAGCTTGCTCCTCACTCACTCAGACCGCTCACAAGCTCCGAGTTCTTTAAATGCTCTAAGTCAGCTCTCCCCAATACCAGAGAGACTGAGTCTCCACACAGGCCCATAACGCAGGGTAAATACCCCCACATACCTTGTGAGAGGTTGGCGAGCTACACAGAGGCGGCATGCAGGGCGTGGCCAGGCGGTCCAGGTGCGCCATGACGACGACCGCAGTCTGTCGCAAGTCAATGGCGAGCTCGCTGTCTTGAGGGAGAGTCAGATACCTCAGGAAACTCTCGTTGGGGCTCAGAGGGCCAGACAGAAGCTAAAGAGAAGGGAACAAGCATCTTCAGAAACAGTAAAGAAAATCAAATAACTCAATTAGCATTTAAACATGTATCATCTACAGACCTGCTGTTTGGCTATCAAACATCAAGTGTTTCTAGCACACCGACCCACACACATCTCTATACCTGCTGCACAGAGGGGCCTGTACCTACACTTCTACCGAAGACATGCACACTGAGACCACATGCAGACCCCACACAGGTCACCAACAGAGCCCAGCCTCCCGACAGGCTCGCCCTCTAAGGGGCCTGGGCAGAGCCAGCTTCCGAGGGACACAGCGTTGCACTAGCATTCAACCTAGCTGTGAAAACTAAAAACAAAAACCCAATTTTTTTTTTTTTAAAGATTTATTTATCTGGGGTGTAGGCCAGAGGTCTGAGGGGCCACAGGGTTGGGAGGTGGTGGGGAAGGTGGTGAAAAGATTCACCAGAGACAGAGTAGGGAGCACAACAGTCAGATCTACTGAAATACACTGCTGAGGGGAGCAGTGGGAGAGACAGGAGAGGTCTGCTGTGCCATGTGGGTCACCTCCCTGGCAGAGAACAAACTCATGCTACAGTGGCTAAGGCCAGCTTACAGCACTGTGTCTTTAACCCTGGTGCCACCAGGGAGGCCCCCAAACCCACCTGTTTTAAATGTGCTCACCCTGGAGAAACCTAGTGCGCTTGTATGAGTTTAGCCACATCAACTCAGCACCGACCTTCAATACCCATCCCACACCTGCCACACTGCTATAGCTGCCAAAAGCACACTCCCCACCACAGCCGGACGACTGCCACCACTTGTTAATAAAATTCTATCTCAGAGTAACAGAAATAAAGAGAACAATGTAAATGCGACTCCTTATGACACATACGTGGGTGTCACCCTCTGTATGAGGGGCATCTTTGCTGCAGATGATGCTCTGGAATCTTTGCAGCAAAGGGAGCAGGGGAGCACTGGTGCCCTGGGCAGATCGTTCATTGTCAGTCTCCTGCGTCCCACTGTCCCACAACTGAAGCAACAGCAGGATCGCAGATAACATTTGGCTGAAAGAGAAAAACAGTCAGTTTCCTCTGCTGTCAAAAATAAAAGCAGACAACCAAGAAAAATCAAAGAACTAATTCAGATTTGAAGAGAAGCAAAAATAATGCACTGAAAATAATTCTTGGCAGTAAAATCACACCAAGACATTAGCACAAGACTTCTACCTTCTGTTGGTAAGAAGCATAAAGCCAGTTAAGAAGCTCAAACAGCACTTTCTGCAGGGAACTTTGAGGATCACACATTCATAGAATGATAATTATTTGAAAAATTAATTGAGAAGAAAAAAAAAGAACAGTTCAGATACAACTAGAAAACAACTGAATATAAAAAAATGAAGAAAAGCTTAGTGAGCCCAGGTGTGAACCAATAGAGGGAGCTGGGCCCTGGCTCTTTGGTCACAGGCGACCACACATTCACTGCCATCACCAGGGATTCCATGAGCACCACAAAGTACAGGCTTGTTTGAATACAGAGGCGCCGCCCTCACCTCAGTGTGCCTCTCTGCACGGCCAGCTCCAGCAGGATGGCCAAGGCCAGGTGCTGGTCCTGCAGAGGGATGCTTCCCGGCCCCTTGGTGCCAGGAGTCCCATGCACGTCCCTGAAACGACAGCCGTGGACACGGGGAGAAAGTAACTCAGCACACAAGCACGATGACGGTGAGTTAATTATGTTCTCTTCCACTCAGAATCAGGTTTCTGAGAGTTGCTGCTCGTGTACCCAGAAGGGCCACCCACCCTGAAAGCAGTCTCCTTACATGCATTCAGAGATGATAAAGTATGCATAAAAATAGGAATTCAGATACCTAAGATGATTATTGATAATACTGGAAGTCACAGTTCAAGTTTCTGTAGCATAAAATTATTTACATCACTCTTCAAAAGTTAAGTAGAAGAGTGTTTAGACACGTCTTCCAGTTTCAATGAAGTGTAAGCAGAGTATCAACATTCCTCTACAGAACTAGAGAAACAAGTTCTAAAGTCTCCTGAGAACCCACAGGTAAAACATCTATTTATCTTTGATCAAAAAAAACTATTTTAATTTTTCTTGCTCCGTATCAAAAAGTAACAAGTATCCTTAACTCAGGGTTGGAGAGAAAGGGTCCTCCAACATCACCATTACAGCTGAAGTTCTGGAATTAATGCCAAACCTATTTTCAGGACCCCAACCTTAAACCCCAAAGCAGTTCATTGGTACAAAGACCACCAGTGTCCCGGCTCATGGGAAGGGGCACGGCAGTGACCTCTCTGAGGGGGGAGAGAAGGAACTCATTTTACATTTCTTTTGGCTGTTAAATTTTGTATAGAGAAAACATTCTCTTTAAATAAAAACCATCACCAAAATGCACAGCACCAAGACCAAAGTTCATGGTTTTCCTTTAGGAAATGACTCCCGTTCAAATATTTGCACCCTAAAAAGACTAGACGTAAGCTTAAATCTTGAGTAGCTCTTTAGCTCCAGGTTGTCTATCAAGGCAACACCCCTCTCTCGGAACCATGGTACCCACGTTCTCAACAAGGCGCTAACATTCCTGAATGATCCCAAATCATAAATACCTGAGCAAATAGGTTACAAAGGCATTTCCCACCCTATCCCGTGAGACGCCTTTCTGGGCCCAATCAGAGTATCAACCAAAAGTCAAACATGAAAAGGCTGACAACAAGGATCTCAACGCAAAGGGCCGAGGTTGTGCTAGAAGCAGACATGGAACCAACCTGCCAAGTCTCTTTGCTCTAAAGAGCAGGGTGACACGAGACTGGCACAAGATGTGAAGAGAAGGCACTCACCCTGTGACGACAGACCTCAGGAACCTGGTCGCTCTCTCCACCACCTCCAGCCACACAGAGGACACGGTGCTCTCGTCGAAGAGGGAGGCCTCGGGCAGGGCTCTCAGGGCATCCAGGGACTCCTGCAGCAGCTCGCTGCAGAGATCTGCATCCTCCCCTAGGCACACACAGGCAGCAGAGGAGGCACCACTCCCTGGCAGCCTGAAAAGCCAAGCTCCCCCGATTTTGCCCAGGGCGCCTCCTACCCTTAGCCTGAGAGGACGCCACTGCCATGTTTTCAATCCTTAGTTTCCTCTCAAAAAGCTACTCTGAGGACGCAAGAAACTAAAATTTCACCTGTTGCCTCTAAGTAGCTCTTTTATGGCTTTCACACAAGCAATTCCTATTCTTCTAGAAAATAAGCAGTAAAGAGGTGTTCTCTACAGTGCTTTGCCAGGTACATGTGTACACCTTTTTAAAAGCAGCACAGCCCTGAAAGTCAAACAGGCTCTGAGGTCGCTCATGTACACTGAAGGAAAGGAGGCACAGAGAGTTATGGGATGGACCCGGGCACAGGGTGGCAGAGATGAGGGGCGAAGTCACAAACCGCATGTAGGAGGGAGACACATACCTGAGCGCCAGGCCCTGCGCAGGAAGGCGAAGGCGAAGGAGAGGGCAGCTCGGGACCCGACTCTCGCAAGTCCTTCCACACCTTTGCCTGAGGGCCGGGAACTGCAGAGGACACACAGGGGTGGTGGGAGTGTGCAAATATTAAAGTGACATCATCATCACAGACAGATTTGTGCCGCATGTGAACAATGGCTTTCTTCAAATGACATTATCACAAGTGACTTTTTTTTTTTTTTAAAGATTTATTTATTCATACGGAACTGGGGTACAGGCTAGAGATGTGGAGGGTGAGAGAATTCACCAGAGACAGAGAGGGGAGCAGAACAGGCAGAGCGATGAGGTACACTGCGGAGGGGAGCAGCGGGCGGGTCAGGAGAGATCTGCTTCGCCATGTGGATCTCCTCCAGGGCAGGCGGGAATCGAGCACATGCGGAAGTGGCTTTAGCTTCTTAGTGCTGTGCTTTAACCCGCTGCACCACCAGGGAGGGCCCACAAGTGACTTTTAAGTTTTGTTTTTTTAAACTTTTTTTAAATGTCTTTTACAAAGGAAGTTTCCTCTTTAAGGTAAAAAAGTGACAAAGAATTTTCAACAACTCAGAAACATGCTCATGAAATAAGCTCAGGAAGCGGAACAGTGCAGGGGTGAGTGAGGGCAGATGGCAAAGAGAAAGATATACATAAGCCAATGAATATGGGAGGGTGAAAGCTCACGCAGGAAAGAAAAGCAAGTGAGGATCACACGGCATAAATAGGACAAATGTCTGAGACTCTGAGAACCTGGACATCCAGCCACGTTTACTTTGGATCCTTCTCCTTTGCTAAGGGTCGACGTGGCTGCCAAGCAGAGGCCCTAGGCACCTGTCCGCTTGCCTCATCCTACTGAGACAGCCTCTCCTGGCATAATGCTCATCTTGCTCGAGTGTTCTACTTAAGCTTACTATTATGTAGATGTGTCAATGTAGTAAGATGTAGCTTCATATCACATGTTTTAAAAAGCTACAAATGGGGCCCTCCCTGGTGGCACAGTGGGTTAAAGCACAGCACTAAGAAGCTAAAGCCACTTCAGTGAGTTTGATCCCCACCCTGAAGGTGACCCACATGGCACAGAAGGCCTCTCCTGACCTCCCCTTAACAGTGTACTCTGTCCATCTGCCTGTTCTGCTCCCCGCTCTGTCTCTGGTGAATCCTCTCACCTTCCCACACCTCTGGCCTGTACCCCAGTTCTATATGCATGAATAAATCTTTAAAAAACAAAAAGCTACACAAATGGTTCACCCTAGAAATATTTAAAAAAATTGAAGCAGAATACAAAAACATACATAGCATGAAATCAATCATGCACAGCAAATTAGTTTTACTTTCCACTTTATAGTATTTCTAGTATAGCTGCACTTGCCAAATTTACGATCATTTGCTTTCGTAAGAAATGCTATTAAAAATGAGAGGGAAAAAATGGATGATGATCTGGAATGAGCTTAAGACACGGTGTCAGGTAAAGCTAGCAGTGACGAAGATGGTACCCCCGCAGACGTTAGATGCACTCCTCTGTGCCTGGTGATGTTGGGGGCAAGGGCACAAGAAACTGATCAGTGCTCAGGAGAAATGAATCAGAGACTGCAACTTTACCTCTGAATAAGAGACACCAACATTACAAGACACAGCTGTGTAACACTTGCAATCTTTAAGACGGAAAGCACATATACAGTCTATTCAGATCAGGGTGCTGGGTGCCCTCTGAAATAGCTGCCCCAGAAAAAGCACAATACTGAGAGTCCCAGGAAATAATTGGGACCTTTTCCCTGGAGAAGAGCCCAGCAGTCCCAATCTGTACAATGTGAGAACTGTCAAATCTTCAATACGCGGCTCTTTTTACAGTATGTGCAAGAAAAAAAAAAAAAGGAAATAGCTTGGGCCCACTCCCATCTGCACCAGTCAAATATCCAACCCACAGTTGGTTCCACAAGAATGGCAAACACCCCACTACTTATTAAATTGAGAAATGAGGAAAAGAATCTGCAAAAGTTTAGAAATATCGGACCCTCCCTGGTGGCGCAACAGCTTAAAGTGCAGCATGATGAAGCTCTCACAGCCACTGCAGCAAGAATTCCATCCCCTACCAGGGGGGTCAGACCTTTCCTGACCCACCCACTGCTCCCCTCTGCAGTAGGAGCAGCGTCTCAGTCAACCTGCCTGTTCTGTTCCCCACTCTGTCTCTGGTGAATCCTCTCACCCCCTGTATCTCTGGCCTGTACCAAGTTCTTATATGCATAAATAAATCTTTTAAAAAGTTTAGAAACATCACTACATATAACTGCAGTGGACAGCCACTTATCTGATAAATCACATGGAAACATGCATGTATACATATGTGCACGTGCACACACACACACACACACACACAGTTGAGAGCTCATAAGACTTGGAAAATCAGAGTAAGGCAGGTAAAAAGACATCCTGGTTGGGTACTAAGCTGTAATCTGCCAGTGGCTACCACTAGAGAAGCTGGAGAGAGGATGTACAGTCTCTCTGCACTAATTCGAACAGCTACATGTGAATCTATAATTATCTCAAAAGAAAAAGGTGTTTTTTAATTTTAGGAATTTTCTCCACTTAATGAGAGAGAGATTTCAATTAATCCATCAACCTTTATGTCACCACAAAGAAAAAGGATACAAAGAAAAATCAACTGGGCTCCTTGGTCACTTTTGCATCGTAGGGAATTCATTGATTCCACAAACTCACAGGTATGGTTAGAGAATCCAGAATCTACCACCCACCTACGTAGACCCTCTCTGAGATCAGCGACCACCACAGTCACTCAGGCTCTAGGGTCAAAGGAAGGAGGAAAAGGTGCCGCTGGCTACTGTGAAGCAGACAGGAATTCTCCTCTGTCACTGATTTAATTCCCCTTAAATCTACTTCCCAAATAATGCCATATAGTATGATTTCAACTAGACTTAGAAAGAAACCAAGCAAGTATGCTAGATAGATTTAACACTTCTCTGGGAAGTAAGACAGTTTTTTCTTTTTGTTACCCCTGCTTCTTTCTACCTCCTGTAATTTCCATATGCTCCCCAGGGAGCTAGTTAATATTATACTCTCACAAAGCCAACTACATAAAATATGGGTTCTATCTACGAAAGTCTGGTAGACAGCTACAAATGCCAATTTTACTCAAAGCCTTAATTCACGCATTCTAGTGGTTATTAGTTAATGCCTCAGAGGAAAACCTGCTGATGTACAGCAACACACTTAAAATTACATGCCTAAAAGCATCTCATAATAAAATACAAAAACCATACTAGGAAGAAAAAAATAAAATGAAACATCTAAACTAGCTTTGCAGTAAATACTATATATACTCTATACCCTACCCAGTAGTAAAATAAAAAGAATGTAAGGTTCACATCCCATTTTCAATCCCAACCACTGGTTGGCTTCTGAAGTTACTCATAGAATTAGGACCTTTAAAATAATGACACAGACTGCACTGATGACCTGTATACCCAGGGTGCGCAAATAACAGACTAGCTAAAGAAGCCAATGCATGAGCAAATTAGCAAGACCACACTCCACATTTTAGGAAACAAATGACAGAGAAAAAAAAGAACAAGATGACATTATGTTTAAAGTCCAAAGTGAGCTTTCCTAAACAAAGCAGCCTGAACTTTACATCTAACTACATTGGGATTCTTGTTCACATTATTACCTTTTTTTGTCCACAGGAGGCACAGAAATGCTGCTGCTTTTCCACTTAACTTTGACATTCTCCTGGAAAACGGTTCTATTCAAGGCAATGAAGTATCGCTCCAAGATGACCAGCCGCTGCTTAAGTCTGAGAGCTGACAGGGTGGTGGTGGCCGACTGGACAGCCAGAGCCTGCTGCTCTTTCACCAACACAGAGAGACACTCCTTTAGCTCATTCACGTCTGGAAAAAGACAGAAAACATGAGAGAGAGAGGTTTCTTCAGCTCACTCACATCCAGAAACAAGGCAGAGAAACAAGGCAACAAGTATGTGAAGCAAGCAGAGGGATCCCACTTCTCAGAATCTAGAGCACAGTTAGTTGTAAGATGGAGAAAACAGATAAAGGTGCTTGGGATGTGCCAAGTGGCTATAAAAACTTTTAACGCACCTTAGCTCCTCACTGCCACCGACAAGCAGTAGCACTATACACTTATGGGGAAGGAAACTGAGACTCAGAAAACTTGCTCAAGGTCACCCCAATAAGATCCCCAGTGGCACTAGGGGCAGGCCACTCCTATTTCCTAGTTTCCATGGTATAAGAATGTGGTAAAGCCTATATATAATGTAGTAGACCAAAACAAACCACTCAAAAGCTATACAAAAAGACATACTCAAAATCACTATAAATTTAAAAAAAAAAAACTTGAAAAAACACAAAAAGGCAAATGTCTATGACTCCACTTATATATACCTAAAGCAATCAAAATCCAAAAACAGTCGCTTCCAGACAACAGGATGTTACTGTCTGGGAAAATGAAAAAGTTCTGCAACAGAGGTGAGGGATGCCCTGAACCGTACACTTAAAAATGACGGAAGCTTTGTAATAAAAAAAAAAAAATGCAACAAAAAAAAAAAGTTTCAACCAATGGTTTCACTTATAGCAGGAGCATAAAGGACTAAGGGGAAAAAACTATATACCTGAGACATTTTATGGGGTGGAGTGGGAAATGGGATCAAAAATGGGTGGGGGGAGGGGCACTGGACTATGGTGATGGCACATGGGTGATCTGGTGTTGGGAAACCCACGGGAATTACAACTGAAATGAAAAAAGGCACAAAATGATGTAAAAATAAACTATTATAAAAAAAATGACTGAAACGGTAAACTGCAGGTTACACATGTTTTACCACAATGCTAACAAAGTTTGAATTAGTCTGGTTTCAGTTCCATGACCCAAAAGCCCATCTGACAACCAGAAGCGCGAGGCCACCCAATCGTCCCAAAGCGCCAGTCTCAGACGCCCTGCTACCTGGCTGCCTGCCCCACACCCAGCTCTCCAGGATTGCCTTGGCCCGATACACAGGCGCGCAAGTCTCTTCTTCATCCTTTTTCTCTTTATCATTCAGATCTTCTTTCTTTGTTCCACTTTGAGTATCAACGCTGTCATCTAGAAAATGAAATTATTTTTAAATCTGTAAATTACTTTTGAAAATAATATCCTTTGTCTCTGCAAACGTCAGGTTAAGTGGCAATGCACATCATTAACAGAAAGTTTGATGGTTTAAAACAAAATTACATCAATCACTGCTGTAACAGGCCCACCATGATGTTCAAGGTGAGGAACAACCCAGTGGTAACCCTCTTAACAAAGAAATAAATCATTTTTATCAAATTCTTCTCTGAAGAACATCTCCCAAAATGATAACTCAGACAACTCAGACCCTCAGTCTTGACACTGACCGGTGATGAACTGCCGTGTGTCCATGGGGAGAGGGGATGTGACATGGGGATTGAGTCAACCATCATTTTAGACTACACAATACCCCACTCCACCACCAACCAGGAGCCATAGCTACAGGAGTCATGCACTGCCAGAGGTCACAAGCTCTGGGACACAGGAGAAAAGCTCAGGACTAAGCATGTAGGTCTCTGAAAATTTAAAGTTTCTGTCACACAAAAAAAAACACCCTGAAACTCCTTACACAACCAAGTGAAGACAGAACTAATCTTACTCTTGACATGGAAACATGTTCCATTGTAGACAGCCCCTTAAACATGAATTATTTTCTAAATGGCATAATTACAAACAGACACCCAAATCTGTGAAAGACTGTATCATATTTCAAAAAGTAAAAGTATCTAAAAACATCTAAACCAACAAATGACAAGAAACGCCTGTAAGAAATATCAGGCATTTGACAGAAAGAAACCACAGCTAATGCTATGAAGAGCGACTCAAACTGCTCTTCAGAAACATATATTAAAACCATAAAATAGTGATTTATGGCCCTCCCTGGTGACACAAGTTATCAGTGGCTGCTTCAGTGCGAGTTCAATCCCCAGGCCTGGAGGTGACCCATATGGCATGGCAGACCTCTCCTGACCCGACCATTGCTCCCCTCAGCAGTGTATTTTGTTGATCTGCCTGTTCTGCTCCCCACTCTGACTCTGGTGAATCCTCTCACCACCCCTGCACCTCTGGCCTGTACCCCAGTTCTATATGCATAAATAAATCTTTAACAATAATAATAATAATAATTTACACTCACCAGTTCTATATGCACAAATAAATCTTTAACAATAATAATAATAATAATTTACACTCACCAGTTCTATATGCACAAATAAATCTTTAACAATAATAATAATAATAATTTACACTCACCAAATTGGAGATTATTAGAAAGTTAAAATGTAAGCTCAGGTTAGGATTTTTCCCCTTTTAAATCAATTTAGTTTACTGACCATCCCAAGTGCCAAGACGTGTGCCATAAGCCCTGAAGGGTCTGCCCAGTGACTATGCAGTGCCAAGCACCGGTAGAAACATGGCCCTAGAAGAACACAACTTCAGCACTCCTGGTAGGCGAGGACCCCCCCAATCAGACAGGCTGCCACCTGAGCTATGAGGCACTCTTCCAGGTGCGACAGGCCCCCGGGGCACCCTGGAGGCAGCCCATCACCAAGGCAAGAAGTATGAAATCCAAAGGTCTAACATTACCAACACACAAATGTACAACTAAGTGCATCACAGTGCCAGGAGCAAACTTGGCTAAGGAACCGCTCATTCCACTCACATGCACCAAAGTGCACGTGGGCGCATATTGCCTCTGTGAAGCCATGAAAACAGAGGGGCACACAAACACGTGAAAGAGGAAAACTTCTGAAAGGATCTTAGTGGGCCAGGAACTGTGAAGTGAGAGGAACTCCGCGACCCTCAGTTCCCGAGTCCCACAGAGGCACAGTCACCAGCACATCTGTCGGGCCCCCTCTTCAACCCCCTAGCACAGATCTGGTTAACACCACCACTCATGCTTACAGGAATATCCAAGCTCCTTGGTATTTAATATAGATGTTTTTTATAATGTACACATATTTTTACACATACAAAAGTACAAGCATACAGCACCTCTAAATTAAGCATTACAGATCTACTTAAAACACAGAAAAGGTTCTCAACATCGTGGTACATCAGAAGCACAGGGCGAGGGGCCTTGAGACACACACACATACACAAGTGTTGTTAACCCCACTCCTGAATTCTAGCACCTGAGATTCAAACTCAGTGAGTCTGGGCAGCAGCATTTTTAATTCCAGATTTTTTAAATTAATACTGAATATTAATTTTTAATATTCTGCCAGAATTAAGAACTACTGGCCTAGAAAATAAAATTTTTATTGAGACAAGGAAGATCAATAATGCATGTTTATGGATACTAAAGTCACACTTGATAAATTAAGGCCACACAGAAATCTACAAAGCTTTTTTTTTCTGTATACTTTTTTTTTTAAAGATTTGTTTATTTATGCATACAGAGATGGGGTACAGGCCAGAGGTGCAGGGGCGGTGAGAGATTTCACCAGAGACAGAGTGGGGAGCAGAACAGGCAGATCAACAAAATACACTGCTGAGGAGAGCAATGGTCAGGTCAGGAGAGGTCTGCTGCGCCATGTGGGTCACCTCTAGGCGGGATCGAACCATGCTGAAGTGGCTTTAGCTTCTTAGTGCTGTGCTTTAACCCACTGCGCCACCAGGGAGGGCCCAGAAGTCTACAAAGCTTTTTAAAAGCAGGACAAAGGAGGGAAAAAGGACAAATCACCTCTGCACTCATGTTTTTGACAAACTACTTACCTTTTTATGAAAAATAATGAAATAATTGCTACTGAGTTTTATGATTAAGAACAGAGGGTGGAGGGAAGTGCATGGGATTATGGTGGTGGCACACAAGTGACTTGGTGATGGGAAACACGCGGGGATTACAATTGAGATGGAAAAAAATGTACAAAATAATGTAAAAATAAACTGTTATAAAAAAAATAGAAAAAAAAAGAACAGAGGGTGATTAGTTTTTTAATTTTGCTCAAGGGTGAGAAAAATGTCCTGAACAGAAAACCCCTCAGAATTCACCCTCAGACAAGCTGTTAGGCTTGAGGTGGGTTAGCTTCTCTGAACCTCAGCTGTGCCATCAGTGAAGGCTAAAGCCCACCTCCAGCTGCTACGTGATGGGGTCAGTACATATGCACGTCAGACTGTAGGGGCGGGGCTTCTCTGAGTCACCCATCCACTCTGCACTGGACTTAGTGAAAATGTCCTTAACGGGTAGACCCTGATCCAGGAGAGAGGGGGTGGCACTGTCTGGGGCAGAGGGCCACCAGGACCCAAAGCCACCAACGGCATTCCACTGTGGAAGAAGGTTCACTTACTTTTCGTTTTACTTGAATCATGACCTTTAAGAAAGCACATTCACTATCATTTGCTACTTAAAATGACTAAGAAAAAACTATGGGTAACAAGGATCTCTACAAAAACAAAATCAACAGAATGGGAGGTGTGGGGGTGGGGTGTGTATGTGCACATGTGTGTACATGCATGTGTGTACAAGTTCACACACACAAGTGCATGCATGGCACGTGCATACACACACGTGGGCTGAGAGATGGAAGAAGTGGTGCACAAGATTCTGGAAGTGCAAGTCCAAGATCTGCAGTAGACCTGCAGGCCCGAGACCCAGAGAGCTGCTGACTGACAGTTTTAGTCCAAAGGCAATGAGCTGGCAGAATTCCTACATGCTGGGAGGAAGTCAGTGTTTTTTCTACTGAATCGTTTGGCTCTTCAACTGATTAGATAGGCCCACCCTCATACAGAGGATAATCTGTCTTACCCAAAGTCCATGGATTTAAATGTGAATCTCATCCAACTGACAGCTTCACCAAAAAAGAAGTTCATAGTATTTGACCAGTATCAAAGTACCATGGCCTAGTCAATTTACAGATGAAATTAACCAGCACACTAAGGATCATAACTAATCAAATATTAATTCTAAAAAGCTATTAGATGTTTTTGTAGGACACTAAAATTTGTTTTTCAGTTATTTACAAAGAAGTTTAAGTATAAAAACTTTCTAATGGTACACAAACAAGGAAGTGGCCAAATTTCCCTGATTCATCTGCATTGTAATGATACAATGCAACATTTGTTATTTCTCACTTTATTACAAATGTAACACCGGCAAGATACCTCAAAAAAAAAATCTATAGCAACAGATGAAGGTCAGTTAATAGGAAAATTATTCTCAAATGAGAAGAAGTCATCTATCAAATCAATTATGGGACTTTAAAAGATGGAGAAATAAAATTTACCAAGAATACTCAGAAAACAGAGCCCATACAGCAAAGCAGCTCAAAGCCACCGCCTGAGAGGCACAATAAAGAACAGGTCAGGTCCCATCCTCCCAAGGATGTCTGGACAGTGCCAGCTGGCATGAAGGTACCAGCAGCAGGAGACACTCTCTGACTCCCTACACTCACCTGATCCCTCTTGAGTGCAGGGTTGTTACAAGGCAGGATAAGGGGCATGACTGAGCAAGAGAGGGCCAAAGAGCAGGGAGCACAATAAATGAAGCAGGGTCAGAGAGACGTATGAATGAGGCAGGTGAGTGCTGACATGCAGGATGAGGGGCTGAGTACTGGACCTGGCACAGGATCTCTAGAGCCCTCCCTAGCAGCTTCCCGAATCACTCTGCTGTTTCCTTCCCACTGCTAGTTTTCACCATTGACCCAGTTAGAATGGAAGCTCCAGGAATGTGGAGGCCATGCCTGATTCATTCACCATCATCTGGCTCATTCATCCACTACCTACAACCCTCCTCACTGCCAGACCAAACCAGGTAAGCCAATGAGTGAATGAATGAATTTGTGACTTACATGACAACATCAACTCATTGATGTCCCACTGGGAGACACATTGCAGATTCCAGGACCGCAGATAAGAGAGACAGCAGAAGCAGCTGACCTCTCCTGACCCGCCCGCTGCTCCCCTCAGCAGTGTACTTTGTCAGTCTGCCTGTTCTGCTCCCCACTCTGTGTCTGGTGAATCCTCTTACCACCCCTGCACCTCTGACCTGTACCCCGGTTCTATATGCGCAAATAAATCTTTAAAAATAAATGAATAAATAAACACTGATGCCACCATCATGGGAGTCCCAAGCAATGCTCAGCAGCTCATCACTATCTTCAGAGTTTCCCTGTGTTTCAAGGAATCTCTAGGTTGTTATAGAAAAAGCTATCACATCAAAAAGAAAAAAATTAACAATTCCTAGATAAACCTCAAATAAGCGGAATGTTATTTAAACAAGCACACTGCAGTTCCCAGGATGGTAGGAGGCAGGTGAGATCATGCCTGCCTCCTGCTGGGGGAGGGGGGCAATTACCCTGTCCTCACAGGGCAGGGCTGAAGTTTTTCCTGGGAAGGATTTCACTCCTGCCCATTGTTTCAGCCCAAGCAGTTAACCATAGGGTTATCATCTGCTTCCTTCCAAAACAAAAGGCCAGAAGTTGAGTCTTCAATAAACAAGAACAAAGGCAAGGCCTCTGTGGAATTACCAACCCCGCGGGGAACAGATTCTAGCAAAAGCTGACATCACTGCTTGGAACGGACACACCAAGGGTGAGTTCAGTCTTCCAAACAGAACTCAAGATCCAAAGCAGTAAGAACTCATTATGGAGGACAGAATAGAGTTATGAGGGAAATTTCACTTGCTGTGAATCAAATGGGTTGTTTTTAATGTTGTTTTGTAAACAACACCTGAGAAAGCTTTTCCTTTTCTGTACTCCCAATGGAGTACAGACATGACAGACCCTCAGAAAAGCAAACAATATCACAGGGGCTTGGAAAGTTCCCAGGCCCCTTGTCAACTCTAAGGAATCAGAATCTCAGGAGGGCACAGCCAGCCATGGGTGTCTGACCCAGCTCTCCAGGCGATCCCGGTGACCAACGGTTTGAGGACCCTTGATGAGGGGGCCAACATTTAATGCTTTGCACTCTCACTGCCAGGAAGATAAAGTACTTTTCCTAACATCCATGGTCCCCTATGCTGCTAAACATTAGTGTGCAAGTGTCCCTGGGGATGTGTCCATGACCATCTGCAGGCTTACCCTGGGGATTTAAAATGCAGCTCGGTACTCAAAGGCATCCATTTCCTTCCATGTGGGCCCAGGCGACTTCTGTGACTCCTGCTCCTGTCACTGCTCCTCCTCTGTACAATTACTGTCAGTTGTGCATTCTGTAGTCCTCCACCTGAAGTCTGTGCCCACAGCCCTGGAAACCATACACACCAGCACTCTAGCGCCCAGGCCAGCCCTCCCAACTGCTTCCCAGACCACAGAAAACACTCCACCCTCAACTCCATGGGGTCTTCCTGTAACACATCTTCATATGTGGATGTTTTTTCTGCCCAAATAATCACAAGTTCTTCTGGAAACATTGCTGTTTTACACCTCTCCCCCATTTCAAAAAAAACCTGTAAACAAAGCCAATGGGAAAGTATTCAACTGACACAAGAGAGAAGTGAAATGTTGATGTTCAAAAAAAGAAAGAAAGAAACTGCCTCCAGGCTTTTATGTTGGAACGCATAAGAACTCAAGTCCTAGATAGACAACACAACGGTCACACATGTGTACAATATGAAGGCAGAAAAAGCTAAAAATAAGATTCATGGAACTACAGAAGACAGTCCTGGTGTCCATGAGGGTAATAGAAATAACAGTCAAGCTTTTTCAACAGGTCTAACTTCACTTTCTTTCTCTACCCCCTTGTTATTTGTGCCAACTGTGGCCTCCATTTCTTTGCAGAGTTGAGATGAAAGGAAATAACAGATCACTTTAAAGAAAAAGATGGAGAGGTAGGGAACCCTGCAAAAAACAAGTGGAGAAAACACTGGATGTAGGGAGTGAGTGCACAGCTGCCAGCTGTAGATATCATTCCACTGTTCCGTGTGTGTGGAAATATTCATAATAAAATATTAGCGGAAAAAGAACAACTTTGCTAGTCAATATATCTAAAAAGGTATACTTATGTTTTTCCAATGTGATTTAAAGTAGACGCTATCCCAATTCATTCAACATGAATGAATGTTCTACTGAAATACAATTTTTAGAGGTCTCACTGGTGGTACAAGGGGTTAAGTCTCAGGACTATAAGCTATCTGCAGGCAAGTCAGCATGAGTTCGATCCCCGGCTAGGGAAGTGACCCACATGGCACAGCAGGCCTCTCCTGTCCTGCTGCTCCCCTCAGCAGTGGATTTCAATATATCTGCCTGTTCTGCTCCCCATTCTCTCTCTGGTGAATCCTTTTACCCCCACACCTCTGACCTGCACCCCAGCTCTTGTATGCATAAATAAAGCTTTTGAAAAATAATAAAATACCATTTCTATCTATCTTGATTTTCAAATAGTATGACTAATAAACCTTAGCAGTGGGTCACAAGTGGGAATTTTTTAAAGTTTATAGTTTTGGAATGGACACAGGCATCCGTTTTTTTTAAATGTCAATGGTGATCCTTACACAAAAAGTGGAGGACAATCAAATGACAGTTTTGTTGAGATTTTGTAACTACAGAGCTAATTACTCACTGGTATTTCTGCATTTAGACAATACAGAAGGGACCAAGCCTTGCCACAGGCAGAATGTTCCCAAAAAGTGTTCTATGTGATTCTGCAAAGGAGAGTCATCAGGAAAAACTACAGCAATAATCATTTCTAGTCAATCTTAGATGAAATGTCTTCAATTCACACAGAACAATAAAATCTAGGCAGCTCATCAAATTATCATTTAGACCACAATCACAAGAGCGAAAATGAAACTCCAAAGATCCAAAGAGTTACATTCAAACACACTTGTTCCTGCAGCACACCCCAAAGTATCTATGAAATGCAAATTAGAAAGGTCCTTACCTTTTCTAGGAGGCAGCTCTCCGTTCTGGGTTATTTCTGTCCCATTATATATAATTTCTCCATCTTTAACCATTTCATTCCACAGACCACAGAGCCCATCTCTCGTGAATGCAAGCTGGCAATGATAAACAAGATACACTTACAGAGCGATCGCACTCACATTCTTAAAGAATGACAGGAAAAAATATTTTACTTCCTCTTATTCAGTCATTGAACACTGAATGAAAATCACCCCAAGAAAATATAGTAAGTGGGTAAAAGGCACAGGGCATCATAGTATATGTGCTATGCTAACTTTCATGAAACATAAGGAAAACACAGGTGGTTCATGCTTGCACTCTGTGAAGAAAAACCAAAAATGTTATAATTGTCGATATCGAGACGGGAAGGAGAACATGGGGAGGGCAGTAGAGACGAGTCAGAACAAAGTCTTGAGTACACTTCCTACATTTTTACTTCTAAAACATGTGCATGGGGTGTCCCTGGTGGTCTAGGTGTTAAATCCCGGCACTATCACCACTCTAGCCTGCCAGGCCCAGATAGGGAACTGACCCACAAGGCCCGGCAGACCTCTCCTGTCTAACCTGGTCTGCCCGCTGCTCCCTCAGCAGTGTATTTCAGTGGATCCGCTTGTTCTGCTCCCCACTCTGTCTCTGGTGAGTCCTCTCACCCCTGCAACCTTGGCCTGCACCCCAGTTCTATGCAATAAATTTTATAACTACTTCACGTATAGTATATGATAAAGTGTTAATCAGTCATACACAATCAAGCATACTAATGTTATCATTGGATACTAAGCTTTTTTTATTTTAAGATTTATTTATTTATTCATACAGAACTGGGGTACAGGCCAGAGATGCGGAGGGTGAGAGGATTCACCAGGGACAGAGTGGGGAGCAGAACAGGCAGATCGACAAAGTACACTGGTGAGGGGAGCAGCGGGCGAGTCAGGAGAGGTCTGCCGCGCCATGTGGTCACCTCTGGGGCAGGCGGGGAATGAACTCATGAAGAAAGGGCTTAAGCTTCTTAGAGCTGTGCTTTAACCTGCTGTGCCACCAGGGAGGGCCGATACTAAGCTTTTTAAGATTTGCAAGAGATAAAAATCAGAAAATTTTAAAAACAATCTGATTAGAAATCTCCATGTAAATTTCAATCTTAATTTATTTGCTAGTTGTCTTTGGAGAGGACCTCCAATAGTACCCAGACACTGGTACTATAGTACCCAGACACTGGTTTCTAAATATCACTTCTCACTAAATAAAGCAAGGGTTTTGGGGAAAAGACAGATTCAAAGGTCAGGACAGGCAGTGACACTGGAATATCTTAGGTGTACATCAAAAAATTACTCAGTCTGATGGAAACTCTACTGGCCAAATTTAGGACAGTTTTGAGCTGCAAAATACATAGACTATACTGAGCTGCAAGAACAAATAAAAACCCAAGTCCATTAGTGAAATTCAAAGGAAAAAAAAAAACAAGAATGCCTGGTATGTCAGGAGTTATGTGACAGAAAAGGCTTCCCAGTGCAAGCTGTCTGTTGGGGTGGGAGGGAGGGCGAGGGGCTGGGGGAGAGCGGCTGCAGGCTTCTACTCTCCAAACTGCAGGGCAGCAGCTCTGTGCCACCAGACACTGAACATTAAAACAGGCACATCTCTGCCCATTTTCAATGGGAGGCTGGGCTGCTGCTCTGGTCACAAGTTCACTTAACTGGGACCTTGTCACCACCCTCACAAAGCATCCACGATGTCCCACCTGTTTCTTTAAAATGGAGCAAGGACTGATGGGAACTTTGTGAGCAATCTCAGCACAGAACTCTAGACCCTCAAGTCTTTTTTTTTGCCCAACCTTTTTGCAACTCTGTGTTTTATACTCTCACTTTTATCTAAAATGTCTAGTGTAGGCAAAACTCTAAGATGGCCCCCCAAGACCCTCACCCTCTGGTGCACCGCCCTCTGAGTATGGATGACACCTCTAAGTAGGATGAGCTCTCATACCTTTGACGCTTTTTTGCCTTTCTAAAGCACAAGTGATGGCATTTCTCATATAATTAAGGTCCCAAATCCATCAATGTCCAGTTATTTAAAAGGAAGTTGATCCTGAAGGCCCTACTTAGCAGTGGGAAAGCCCTGAAGAGGCCGGGCCCACCTCTGTGGCTATCTGGTGGCAGACAGCCCCGCCAATGGAGAAGAATGGCCTCGAGAAGCCCTCGACCCAGTCCCCTGACAGCAGCAGGGGAATCCTGCCAGTAGGACTGCAGAGAGAAGCAGATGAGAGCACACAGACACCCTGCTGGGAGCCCATGACAGCCAAAGGGGAGGGTCCAGCAAAGACAGGGCCAGACTCTTTCCCCACAGAAACTGGGGAGATAGGACACAGTAAGTTCCTGGAAACAACTAAACCAATGATTTGTTATAGAGCAACAGAAAACCAATTCAGCATCCAGCTTAATTTTCATAAAAGCAATCATTTTCTTTCAACACTCATATTTGTCTTTCACATCACTAAAGAGAACTGCCATAAACACAACCGGGACTGAAACATATGACTCTTGGCAAAAGTATCAAAGGGTAGGGGCGGGAAAGTAAATTCCTCCCTAAACACTGGGCCACGTGCACTCAGGGCCCTGGGGTCTCAGCGAGGGACTGGGAAGAGCTGGCTCAGCTGCATGTGCAGGTGACAAGGGGCTCACAGGAGCGCTGGAGTCCAGCCCAGTGCCCACACATCCACACAAAGCAAACACCCTGACTAAACAGCCCTGGGAGCACCATGCTCCCGAAATGACATGCCGGTTTTAGTTACTCAGGAAATAAATGATCTGAACCTTAATCACAACTCAGTTACCACTGCACTGCAAGGTGACAGAAACAAAACTAGAAACAAGAGAAAATAATTTACATGGCCATTGCCAAAGAAACCCTTTCCCCAAAAAAGGATACAAACCCAAGCCATGGGAAGCAGAGGGTTTATGACTTCTCAGACCAAATAGGATAGACCAGATGTGACAAATAGGATAGATCAGATGTGAAAGAGGAAAGAAGCAGGAACAGAACAGAAATTGAGGGGAATTCACTCAGTTTTAACCATTGAGATCTGTACTAACTACTGAAGGTAACAAACAAGGAGACCCCCACATACACACAGATCTGGGATCCACCCATCCAAAGAAGAACTGGGTGCGGACCTCAGTAACCACTAAGCCAAGTACAACATCTCAAAGGATTTGAGGAAGGAGGAAAATTACTAAGACAACAGAGCAAGTTCCCTCCCTGGAGGAGGGCTTGGAAGAGCTAGACTGAAAGGCAGAGAGGAAGCCCCTCGGGGAGCTGTTCCAGGGCCCTGAGGGAAGTTTGGGGTCCTGAGGGGAAAGAAGCCAGGAAAACTGGAAAACAATCATGACAATGTCAAAAAAGCCTGTACAGGAAATCAAAGATACTCAGCTTATCTACTGATGAGTATATGCATAAACGGGTGTCTTCTCTTCATTAGCAGCTAACATACTCAAAGTTCCCAATGGAAGATGGCATACGTCTTAAATTTCCCTTTTGAATTGAGAGTAGATGCAGATATTTTTCAAGAGCCAGCAAGGGGAGTCGTAACAGGGAGGTATTGGGGGACAGTGAAATCAAGTTCACAAATCTCTGGGTCTTTCAAAAGTAGCTTAACTCCCAAGTTTGGACTCTTCTCACCAACACGCCACCCACATACACACAGAGCGAGCAGCTCAGGGGAGTCATGCCCCCAATAGGTGCTACAGACACTTAACACACCAATAAGATCGTGATTAGGCCCTGAAGGTCTCTATTAAAATGACTATGGATGCTCCTGGCTTTTCAATGTGGTCACATCTCAAGAAAACCCAAACCTGGTAATATTGCCAGGAAAAGTACACTTCCACACCTAGCCTGCTGGACATCATAGCTAGCCCAGCCTACACTAACATACTCAGACACACTGGCCTACAGCTGGGCGGTTACCTTCAGATTCACCAAGTGTATGTGCTTTTTCTTCAAATCACCAGAAGCAGAAGATACATGAGCATTTTGTAGATATGATGGGATTTGTGAAAGCACAAAACACAGTATCTAAACTACGTGGCAAACGCATCACACTGTACTAGCTGTTTCCCCTCGTGAGCTCACGTTGACAGGAAGCAGGGCTCACTGCCGCTATCCAGCACCACTGGAGCGCATCCTACTGCACAGGCTAGCCAGGGGAAGACCAACATTCAAGTTGAGAAGTCTGGCTTCCACTGACAGCCTATAGCAGTCACACCAATGTCAAGACATAAAGTCAGAATTTTAAGCCAAAGACACCTACCCTTCAGAACGGCATGATTACACAATAAAAAAAAAAACAAAAAAAAACTGAATGGCATTTTGATTGACTTATAGGTCAGAAAGTGTTTTATATTTCTTATTTTTATGCCTGAAATATAGTCTGTGTAAATATTTGCAGCTATCTGCAGGACAACAGGCCAATTCCAAAAAATGTTAAGAGCAGGTTTTTAGGACAAGGAAGCTCAGACAGAAACAGAGTGGATCTATCTGTTAAATACTCAAAGCAGCGCAGGGCAGCAAGGAAGAGTAAGCCTGAGACCTGACAGAAGTGCAGCTCAGAGGCAACTTCCGAGCAAGTGATTCCAGAAGAGCTGAGAGGAAGGCTGGATGGAGCCCGGTGCTCAGGGGGAAAGGCCTGGAAGCACAAGCTCCCTGGGGCGCACGCAGCAGAAGCGCAGCAGAGGTGGAAGCAGACACCTCCCCGCAAGGAGCCTGCTCTCGATCCTTCACTTCCTGCTGCTCTGAAGCAGCCCGATGGCTTGCGCTCCCAGCTCAGTGGGTCCTCTCTGGAGAAGGATATCATTACCCAGGCATTGAGTTTCCACAACATTCTACACACAATAACCACAACTTAAACAAAAATAATAGTAGATAAAACCACATGGGTAAAAAGTGAAAAAAGTAGAAGAAATCAAGATCAAGAAATCAACAGAGGGCCCTCCCTGTGGCGCAGCGGGTTAAAGCACTGCACTGAGAATCTAAAGCCGCTTCCGCATGAGTTCGATTCCCGCCTGCCCCGGAGGTGACCACATGGCGTGGCAGACCTCTCCTGACCCGC